AGATAATAACGCCTAGTAGGGAGAGCCCTATACAAAACAGAGCCTGCCTATTACCTTAGCAGGTTTAATAATGGTAATAAGCTGTAAACCTAAAGCTATTCCTACTACCTAAATAGGCAAGATCTCTGGGCAGGCGGAGGTAAGAAAAGCGAGAGTTTTAACTGGGTAGTACTAGGCTTAGTACTACCCCTGTGTGTAGGGAGAGACACACAGACACTAGGGATATTAACTAGTAGTTAAACCGTTAATAATAAGCTCCCGGGCTTATAACCTGTTGATGTCTACGATGGTAGACGATGGTGTATAATATGTAAATTGTTGTAGAGTTACTGTACAAACTAGGAAAGATGACTGACTATATAGTCAGTAACTATGGGATGGCGAGCCTGTGGCATCTGAGAGATAACAAACACTTTACAGCTGGGATCGTGATGCTCAATTGATAGGGAGTGCTAATCGGCCTCTGAGGACCTGCGTACCCAGAAAGTTATCATCAGTAATCGGACCAAGGCCAAGAACGCTCCAAACTCAAGAATCTCGGAATCTTGGTCTATGTATGTATGTATTTATGTGGTAGTACGGTGCTTCCAAACAGTTGACTACATCTACAAAACAGCAAGGCAAGGATATTCATCATCACTAGAGATTTTCATTCACGACCTGCCTCAACTAATCATTGTTCACAATCAATGTTCCTCTCACAACCAGTCTCTCATTGACAAACCTCATCAGAATCCAACTTGACTTGATATCTGGCAACCTCAAATTGCCTTGGCACTTCATACTTCGCACCCCAGGAGCAATTAAATATACGGAGAATCCATCACTTAGCAGCCAAGGGCGATTGCTATTTGCTGGTCAGCTGATTTTCATTAGAAGAACTCGACCTCGGACACTAACCATTGGCATACAGTGCATACGTGTCGGCGTTCAACACAGCATCTGCGCTAGAGAGGGCTGTCGCAGCGCGATATCCGTATCCGTTGTCTTCAGTTCCAGGGCTGTACACTCCTGGAGCATGGGTGAGCTCGTGGAGAGTTGTGGTTGCTTGATCTTGGTTGTGGCACTTGCTAGCCAATGCTGGGAGGTCGCTGTAGTAGATATCACAATTGGCGATCACATTCAGAGATGGCAGAGTGTAAGCCAAGACATTCGTCTCACAGCTATTTGAATTCGATTTGTAAGTAACGTATAAATATCAAGTCTTTACGGAAAGGAGGACTGACTATCCCAAGGTATCTTCGCAGTAGTACTTAGTGGCAGTGTTCGAGCCGGCCTCTTTTGCCACAGCCTTAAGCCGAGCAGCCACGACCCTGCGTGTAGCCGTGCTGGTGGTCTTAAAGTACTCGCTGAACCTATCGAATGCTATTAGAATGGTTAATCCGTTGTAAAACGGTATGTACATACTTAGTAGAAGATCCAGAAAGGGCAGCCTCTGCGGCATCTGTCGCGAGCGTCACGGTATTCTGGAGAGCCTTGGCAAGTGCAGACTTCTTGCTCAAATTACTGCAGGTCTGGAGAGCGCGACGATCGAGCGGCTTGATAGCCTTCAGTACACGGGATGCCTTGACACCGTCAACCTCGATCTTGAGATCATTAGAACGATATGGCAGGTAGCCAGTGACCGCACCATCAGTGACCAGGGGCACTAGGCCAGTTGAACGGAGAGTCAATGGGCCTCCGCTAGACAAGTCACTGGTAGTGGCAATGTCAAATTCATCCTCGAAGGTCTCTCCTGCAGCAAGAGAGGTGAGAGATTCCGAGGTGAGACCGTTGAGGACGAACCGACGTTTGATACCCTCAAAAGTGACCTCAGAATCTGATTTAATGTTAGAATTGTACCGATAGGGACTGGAGACATTTTATATACCGTTCTTGAAGACATTGACCTTCTTGACGGGTGCGGTGTCACGGAAAAAGTTGAGATGCACAAATGTGACATCTTCACTGCCAGAGTTCTTCACAACAGCCTTGATACGGGTGTCAGTGATGCGACTCAAGATAATATCAAGCGCAGGGGTCCCATCGTTTTCGACTGGCAAGGAGTGCACATGCTGTGCTAGAGCCAGAAGAACCGTGGAAAGGCCAGCAAAACGCATGATGCTCGAAGATCAAAAGACTAAAAAGGGTAATTCTCTTGAAAGGGAGGTTGTAATTTTGATATCTTGGATGCTGCTGGAAATGAAAAGCCCCAGTTGTCGGGAGAATATTGCCTTCTTTATAGTCCCCTGGATAATCATTGCAATTTCGAAGTGGAATGCCGCGGTTTCCTCTCTCCTGTGCACCGTCTACCCTCTCACCGTTGCCCAGAAGAACGGTAGAAGAAAGAGGATAGGATCTTCTGTGTATGAAACAATTTGGCCACGCCAGCAGCTAAACTTGCATAGGGCAGACACGGGAGACCTGCGGGCAATCTTGTCACTGGTCAAAGATATCTCGAGATAGCTACAACATACACCTTCAGAAAGATCATCATGGATATCTTCTTGGCCCGACGGAAAACCGCGCCCCTGAAGGACGGGCTTTAGCAGGGATATATGCCCAATGGCGCATCAAGCTGCATTTGATACCACCTCATGCTTGAAGAGGTGGGGGCTTATTCGATGTAACTCCTCACGATCGGTTCTAGACAAAGGATAATTCGGCGCTAAAAGCTGCCAACCCCTGGGCAGTTATTTATGCATGGCATAGGTATAGCTATGGGAATTAAGTATAAAAATTCATTCTGCGAGAGAATGGAGCATAAATATATGCGCATCGCCATTCTTAGAATTCGTGGAACATAAAGACATTGTACTGTAGAGATTTCAATATATTTTGCCTATGGTAATAACAGGACTTACCGGTAACAACTCATATCTCCATTCCATTCTCAATGACCAACCTAGAGATTCCCCTCCATTCATATCACGCCAAGCCCTAAGCTGTACATTTGTCGCCGGACTCCGGTGCCAAGTAGTGCCAAGATACCACCCAAGACGGCGCCGAAGTCTTGACCTCAAAACAATGCTTAGTGTCTGCCATTAGCGGTTATGTCGTATACAACATATAGCGTTGTAATTATTAGGGATTTCACTGTTGTGACAAATGGCTCGCCTGGGAGACAACGCTATGCCAAGTCAACAAGAGAGGAGTGTTCCACGGAGCCCCGGAGGAATGCGGTAGAGCACCCTCGGCAGTCGACTTGGCATGCAATTAACAAAACTAATTGGTTCAAACTAGGGATCGTCAACATGATCAGCATTTCCAGATATAAGGCGTGATAAGAATCTCTACCTCGGTCGCTTTTGTCTGATCTTTGTACACCCCACCCCTCGATATCTCGACACTGCTAGTAACTTGCCGAAACTACCTCGTTGCTCTTATTTTCTTTGTTCCCCCAACCTCATTGATATAGTATATCACACTGACCACGGAAATGTCTCTTTCTGACGCAACTATGGAGTCAAAGTTGGGTTTGCAGGTCACCTTGGCCCCCCAGGCACAGATCCTAGAGGCACAGGAAGCATTTGCTCTACCAATCAAAGTTTCTGTTCACAATGCCGCAGATTCAACAGTCACCATTCTAAGATGGGGCACTCCATTGGACCCTCAGGCTGGTGTTCTCGGTATTTTCGAGATTTGTGACACAACGGACAAACGGAAACTACCCGTTCCTACTATTATGGTTTCACGCAAGCTACCTGCCTCAGAGGACGATCTTGTTGAGATACAAGCACGTCACACCATTGATGTAACTGTCAATTTGCCGATTCAAAGCCTTGACAAGGGACATGAATATTCTGTCCGTGCCCAGGGAACTTGGCATGCGGTGTGGCCAACTGAATTATCTAATGTCACTACATCCCAACTCAGGGATAACGAAGGCGCCTATCGCGGGGACTTCATTTCAAATGAATCCTCCGTGAGCATTGGGTGAGCCAAGTATTTGGTTTTTGGATACTTGAAACGAAGGGGCGGCATGTGAGAAAACTCGACGCTACGCGATTGTTATCATTGGATGTCCTACGGCCCACGATCTATTTCATGTGTTATTCACCGGAATGAGATCATACCAAATTATTTTCACTATTATTCACATGAGTTTCTGGGAGATAGCAGTTTTGTGTTACAAATTTCAGGGTTCCCTCGGTATTACACAATGTTTCAAACGAGATTTAATCTGCTGCCTAGTATCAAGCCCTATTTTTCATCACTAGAATGAAGCTCTGATGCTCAAGTGTTTACTAGCACACATAGACTCCTCAATAAGCATGTCTTTCCATAAAGTACCAAGCCTAGAAAAGGACGCTAGAGCGGTGTTTGAAGTTCTGAAACGGGGTGGTATTGCGATTATTCCCATGAGCGTTGGCTACGGAATCACTGCGATTGATCCGGATGCATTGAACCGGATTTTTCGCGTGAAACGGAGAGAGCCACACAAGCGACATGCAATGGTTGGCAGTTACTATCTGCATCGAGATATTCATGTTCTTCCTCCCCAGGAAGCCAGTATCGTCAAATTATTGACTGTGGACTTGGAGCTTCCTCTGGGGATTGTTGCGCCATATCGACTTGATCATCCGATTATTCGAAAGCTCCCACCAGATATATTAGCACAGAGCGTCGTTGGGGACACTCTAGCAATGTTGGTCAACGGAGGTGCTTTGCTAGAAGAATTATCTCGACTTGCTGCCCTAGAGGAACTTCCTCTAATGGGATCATCAGCCAATATCACCGGCAAGGGAACAAAGACTGTGGTAGAGGACATCGAGCCAGAGATCCTCGAAGTGGCAGATATAGTCATCGACTACGGAAGACAAAAGTTTCACCATCCTCGAGCCTCTTCAACCATTATCGATTTTAGAACAATAAAGGTTGTGCGATACGGAGCTTGTTATGATGTGGTGCAGGATGCTCTCTCTCGGTTTTATGGTATCAAAGTGCCAGATGATCCCTGGAACGTGGAATATTTTGTCTGAATAGATTTGGACGAACAGGATATGACGTTTTTACTCTGATTACAGAATTCGATACCGCGTTCTGCTATAATTCTAACCTGATTACCAAGTAACGTGGGAGACCAATAATCAAACTATCCCAAGAATCCTTAATGTGATGGCTTTGCTTTGTGTGTCTACAATTTCCTTTGTTTTGACTTCTTAAGGAACATCCCATTGTTTTCAAAAAAGGCAGAATCATTTGAGAAGCTGAAAGAGAGTTAAATGTTCAAAAAGTTGGCTTTCCATCACTATATTGCGATTGTACAGAAATCCTACTTGTGTTGCGTCTGCCATGAAGAAGGATGTATTCATGTCTCCCTCTGTGTTGGCAAGAAAGAAGCTGATCACGCTTTTAGTGCCCATCAATTGTGTGATTGGAGTTACTAGAGCAGTATGCAAAAATTTTGCAGAGCACGAGGTAAATTCTATGTCAGCCCCCCTGTGGTATCTAATCAAAAGAACAAACACCTGATACAATGCAGTGACACTAGTCTGTTTCATTGTGCTATCTAAGATCTTATTGTTCCACCGGAATGTTCTAGAGTTAGGTTTGGAGAATTTGAACTTGGGCTTTTGTCAAAACTAGATGTAACTGATAGTGACAGTGTTTCTGGTGACAGATGAAGATGTGAGAATCCGATCTTGATAGATGTCCATTATTGTAGCACCCAATGGTCCGTAAGTATTCCCACTGCGCGAGGCAGTTGCATTGGAGAATATCACTGTGCCAAAGTTGGCAAAAGGAGCCAACGCGTTGTTTACAGAAAAGTCCTCCACAATCCATTCGGCATTGAACTCACATAAGTCACCCCAAAGACCATTACGGAATATATGCGTGACAGATGCGCCAGTGGATAAATTCTCAACGGTAGCAGAGCCGGAACTTTTCGAAGTTGCATCGACTGTCATTCTGATGACATTTCCAGCCGAAATTTGGATGTTGCTAAAGTCATGGGCGTAGTCTGGATACCATTCGTACCACGCGCTGTACGATGTAGACCCTCCTTGAATACAGAAATCGATTCCTGTTTGTAGAATGGCTGTACTGCAAGTATCACCGTCAATGCCAACCCATGCAGAGGCACAGTAATTTGTGTAGGAATTCGCATCATTCGGGAGTCGGGGGATAGGAACAGTGATCTCTCCGGATACCGAAGAGTATCCTGTACCAATAAGCACAGCCCCGGCCCAGTTTGAGCTGTAAGTCTCCTGGGACGTTTGATTCAGATAGAGCACTTCCGAGGTACCTGGACTATGAGGCCGAATTCTGCGGCGCGGAGCTTGGGTATATTGATGTATCTCACGGTCTGCCTGTTGGCGAGGAGTGAGTGGAGAGGCGATGATAGACGTAGTGAGTAGCGTAGCACCGATTATTGCGACAGCGAATTTCATAGCGAAGGTTCGGGAGTTGAGTCGGTATAAATCTGTTTCAATTATTAAAACGAAGAGAAAATTTGCTGAAAGAAAGTTGAACTGCGGCGAATCTAAACTGCGCACGAAACTTGACGTTTATATAGAATTTGCTCCGAGTATTAATTAAGCTTAGAAGGGATAAGTCTAGAATGAATCAAATGATATAAATAGCCATGATAGGAGACGCGAGTGAATGCCTCTGAATGTAACATGACCGCCATTTAAGATGAAGATAAAAAGCGCAGATGATCGCTGTCGGAGACCGAAGGCTAGTGTGACTTTATGAGGTAGCCCTTTGGCTAACTAAATATACAAGGATCCCCTAAACCCTGAATGGTAAATGTGTTCCTTGTATACGGTAAATTCGGACTCATATATACATATATACTGATTTAGGGTAACCACAGAGTACAGAGTGTAGGCCCAGCTATTCTACTTCATTGGACTTTCCATGGATTCTAGACAGGTGAAAATATACAGCTATGATCCTTGAAGTAAGACTGGATGTAGACAGCGCGATTAAAAATGATAAGATGAGATTATATGAGCACAATTTGGCTTTGCGTTACCCTTGAATAAAAATCTCTTCCCTAATTTGGCTCCAGACCTGTCTTTATAGAGAGGTGACAAGCAGAGGGTTGTGATCGGATCAAAAACTTTGAAAGCCAGTGGCTCTCTCTCTCTCTCCCTCTATCAAAAGCTTCTTGTCTTATTCAACTCTGATGATCGCTTTTGGAGGGTCATCTCCTTGCGCTGACTAATTATTTCTCCATGCCTCGACTTCTTGATCAAACTGCACCTAGAATATAAGACCTTGAATGTGCAAATAAGAATATTTCTGGATCTTAGGATTTCTCTCTCCATCGAACACTGCCTCCAAAACCCGCCATTTGATTGGTCGCCTGACGTCACCATAGTGATACCAGCACATTATACCGAGGGGTATCTTCCCAAACTCACCTGTAGCATACTCACACAGTGTCAAACATTACTTACGGCTAGATGTCATCCAAGAAAATTGCCATCATTGGCACTAGTGCAGCTAGCATGCCACACGCCTCTACCTTTGCTAAGAATCCAGAGTTTGCAGTAACAGGTGTGACTCTCAGTCGGTAGAACCCCAAGTCACTTTTGCAAAGGGGAACAATTTCATCATTCGAAAGAGAAAAAAAATCTCTTTTGAATGAATCCTATTTTTATTCAAGTAATTGATGTCTATTCTCGGAATCATGCCCGTTGAAGCCATTTCGCTTCGGCAAAGCCTTTCTGGTCTAGCATGTCTTCGAGACAATCCTGTCTTTACTACTTCTCGCTTTATTTCGGAGCACATGATACCGAACTTCCAATGTGTCAAGTTTGCTATTAGAAAGCGTTTTTAACAAATGTCAAATGCAGTTTTAGCTATCGCTGAATTTTCCTACTATGAATACATTTCCAAACCACCAACTTCTATCGTGGGGGGCGCCGGATCTGCGCACTCAAGTTGTTGGTGTTCAAGTCGGTCTTATAGAAATTTAATTCCACGAAACCTTGGGCCAACATGTGACTAAATTTGGACTTTACTATATGGCTAACTTAAAGTAGAAGAGGATGGTGGCACCAGTCTGGTAATCAGTGGCTGCAGTACATGAGAGTGATTCCTGAAATGATATTAATCAACGACACCAACCGGACATCATATACTGAAAGTCAGACAATGGTGGTGGGGCTTACCTCGTTTAAGTGGGACTCTACAGAGATGATACGTTGGATTATAGAACATGCAAGAAATCGGATGCGCTTCGGCATTGAAATAGCGCACCAACTTGATGCTACGTATAAACTATATGACTTTGCCGGGAGCAATTTTGCAAAATATTTACCTATCTGCCACCCAGCGGAGTACAAAAAACAACAGCAATGGAGACATGAAGAAAGCAGATATGTGCTTGATATTCCGTTCAAACTCATGTTGAAGTCAAATATCTCAAAGCACATATCGAAAACTTTCAATCTCATGGTCAGTCTCGTTAGAAAGCTCGTCTTGCAGTTCTTCAATTTCACTCATCTCTTTAGGAGACCTGTACAGCCTATCCCGTCGTCGGTTTTCCAAGACATAATATATAGAGAGACAGACCAAGAAGAAGATTCCGAAGGCCAGTCCTGCCATAGACGCTCTGATACCAGTCTGATCAAGTTAGCACTCAAGTGGTATGATGGGCCATGAAAGTGAAGTACTGACTAAATATAACGGTTCTTCCGAAGGAAGGAAGAATTGGGGACTAGCAATATTTCCAATACAGTACGCTGCAAACATAAGGGCGCTGACAGTGCTCTTCTTGGTAAATCCGGCGACGTTCAAGCTGATCAGACTAAGACAAAGGGATATTGGCAGCGAAGACACCACCCAGGCAGAGACCGGTTATCTTCCCTGCGTGGTTCTCATCATCTAGCTTCCAAATCAAAAGCATACCGAGCATCGATACAGCCGTATTGAAGATCATCATAATAATACGAGACTTTGGAACAAGGGACGCGAACCCCGAGGTAAGGAGGAGAAAGACAAGCTGAGCACCGCCAATGGGCATCTAGATGAGAAGAGCCTCTAGATGGGGGAATCCAAATCCGGTGATAATGATAGCAGAAAAACTTGTGATGCCACCGTTGCAAAAGCTAACACAGAGTGTATAAAGTACCAAAAACCACGTTTGTAGGTCTTTGATCGCCATTAAAACCTGACCCCATTTGAACTTGCCCGTGTCCAAAACTCCAGTCTTGTTCTTCAATGTTCTGTGGACTGCAATGGCTCGTTCGTTGGGTTTCAGAAACACAGCTTTCGCGGGTGAGTCCGGTAGTGTAAAGAATAAGATGACGCCATAGGCAGAAGTGATGGCGCCTAAGATAAGAAACAACAGTTGCCATTGGGCAATAGCTGTGATGTGAATATTGCCAATACCGTAGGCAATCAGCCCGCCAAGGAGAACAGCAATGGAATTACCAACAAACCATGCTGCCTGGCGTGATGGCTGCTCCGATCTTGTGTAAAACATTCCCGTTATCAGCGCAAAGCCAGGCGCAATTGATGCCTCTGTCAAAATACACTTGTTAGCTGTGTTATAATTTATCAGTATAGGAACCCATATCCCCAACGCCAAAAAAGAACCTAGCTGCCATTAAGCCACCCCAGTGTTCGTGCAGGCGGCGTGAACCATCAGACAACCTCCCCAAACACAAACAGCACCGCTGAGATATTTGCCCAACGGAAGCCTGGAACCAAAACTTAGCCTATGTTATTAGGAATTATCTCTCAAACTTACCTCACGGCGAGATATGAACTCGGCCAACTCCATGCGAATAACCAAAATAAAAAATGGCGGATGCCCAGTTATATTCATTTCCTTTCAAATCCTGGTGAAAAAAAGAGCTGTATTAATATTAAACAACAAGAAGAGAATCAAGTTGGTTGCATTGATTGGAAAAGGGATACACCAAGTCCTGTCGAAGATTGAAAAGGGTTGCCTGGCTAATTGCTAGTTTGTCAATGTACTGCAACATCTAGCAACCGCCTATGAGAGGTATTAAAAAGAAGTCTAGCTTCCTTAAAACTTTCTTCTCCATTGTAGGTGTTGTTTCAATCTCAAGCACTTGTCCAAAGTCCACATTGCGAGCATCAGAACTCGACTCAACCTTGAGTATTTCAAGGTCTGGTTTTGTCCCTTCGGATGTGTTCTTTCCTCATACTGACTAGTCCAAACTAAGCAGAGAAGAAGGGAATACGTAGATGACGGATAGAAAGAGAGAGGAGCATTGGTGATATGTGAAGTAAAAAGATGATTAACTTAGTATATGTATCAATTAGCGGGTGTCTCAAGGGGACTATATGGCTTCTAGGACAGGGCGGCCAAGACCGATTGAACTCAACGTGGTAGCAACACACCGGATACGATAATAGCTGATAGGGAAACTAAACCAATGATTTCCGTACGGTGTCGAGTCAATATTACGTTCATAAGCCTTGGTTCTACTCTAAGAAAAGGCGGGGGAGGGGCGATAACATTCGCCAGGAACGCGGGCAAATTTTGTGGCAACCAGAAATAACTTTAGCGAGCTCAGATACCAAAATATGATGAATTTACCTCTTAGTTGTTGCCATCCGCTACAGTGTGTATAGACTTCGTGAGTAGTAGATCATTGGCATTACAATATCGGCAGTCTAGCGAATCGTTGGCACCTCGGCAATATGAATGCTCATACTCATCGGCAACCAACTTTCCCTACAGGCCCCGATCAAAAGTCAAAAAGGAAAAGGCAAAAAGGAAGGATTGGAATGCGAAGTTTGTGGCGAAGGAAAAACGCGAAAATAGAACGAGATATTGAGGATGCCAAACACGAGTCTGGTCGTGGGTTGAATTTCTGCCTCTGATCCCAAAACTTTACCTGAATATTGATACAAGATAAGGGGTTGAGCCTGATTATCATTGTTATGACAACATTATAGCAGAAGATACTCCGTACATATTCCGGATTCCACTGGTCTGTCGAGATTGCCGACGGAGTGAGGCCTGATAGACTTTCGCCAAGCTTGCCGATATAGCGGATGATAACCCCAATTCCGTGACTCTAGCTCTGTTGTCATATTGAAAGGAATTATCCACAAGTAATCATACTGGCCATAGGATAAAGGTTGGAATAGCGTTCCATTCTTCCCCTCTTACTTTGTCATCGGCAAACGCCACGCGGATACCGCCTGATAATGCGTCAAATTAGTTTCGCTTTTGAAATTTGTTCATATTTAAGTATGGCACGACTCTTGGGGTCCTTTAGGCAAGAGGGATCCGAATTCAACACTGCTAGAATTGAAATAGACCGTTAAAACATTATGACTCTCCCAGTCATCAATATTGAGGAAGTGAAGACCTTTGTAGATGCCACGCTTGAGGCACTACAACAGGAATTGCGGGAATTGAACTATCAAGTATGTTCACCCTCGCAGTCAGACTTTTATCTATAGGGCTGACATGTCCGTGATGATTGTCAGATTTGGTCAAATCCTGAGCTTGCTTATCAGGAGCAGGGCGCTCACGATACAATTTGTGATTTCCTCGAAGGACAAGGTTTTACTGTTACTCGCCACGCCTATGGACTTGACACCTCTTTTGAGGTTTTGAGTGGAACTGGTGGGCGATTGATCAATTTCAACGCAGAATATGACGCATTGCCTGGAATTGGCCATGCATGTGGTCATAATTTAATAGCGACAAGCAGTATCGCTGCATTCCTTGCACTGTCGTTTGATATAAGGAAATTTAGCATCCCTGGTAGAGCCCAGTTGTTAGGGACTCCTGCCGAGGAAAATGGAGGCGGAAAGGCCAAATTGATTGATGCCGGCGCTTACAAGAATGTCGAAATCTCGCTAATGGCGTAAGATATATGAAAGGAGACGGATTGGTATGTGCTAACTTGATTTGCAGTCATCCTGGACCCAAAAAGATATATCCCGACCAAGAACCATCGGACGGGATTGCTGGAACGCCTATGAATGCGCGCAAGAATATCTATTGTAAGTCGCCCAATATACTTCTTGTATCACATGCCGATTAATATAACTCAATATAGGCGAATTCACGGGTAGAAATGCTCATGCCGGTGGGAATCCGTGGGAAGGAATCAACGCGCTTGATGCCCTGGTCTCATCTTATAACAACGTTGCGGTCCTTCGGCAGCAGCTTCTTCCGGACCAGCGTGTTCATTGTGCTTTCTTAGACACACCCAAGGTAGCTAATGTGATCCCGGATTATACGAAGGCTTTCTGGCAGGTGCGCAGCCCTAGATTGAAGGGATTGAATACCCTTGTCAGCAAATTGCGCAATTGCATTGAGGCTGGTGCGTTGGCCACTGGATGTCAAGTCAAGATTGATGAGTATGTATCCATTTATGGCCACCTTCCCGCCTGACTAGATGCTTGAGGAAGTGGATACTAATCTGTTTGCTTCAAGGGATGAGCTCTATACTGATGTCCGATTGAATGACACTCTCTGTGAACGCTACTGTGTCCACATGGGACGGTATAGTCGCAAAGTTCTCAAGCGCTATGATAAGGTCCTAACGGGGTCGTCGGATATTGGTATGTGGTCAGATAAGATTCCCCTTGATGGACAAGGCTAACCCGTGTACTTCAATAATAGGCAATGTTAGCTACGAGACTCCAACGCTTCATACAATGTTTGCGATTCCGGCTCCTACAACTTCATTTCCACACCACCCGACTTTTGCAGCTGCAGCTGGAACAGACGAAGCCCATGCTGAGGCATTGATTGTTGGAAAGTCTTTAGCATTGATTGGTTGGGATATGATTGTGGAGAACGATATGTATGATTTGGCGTGGCGTCAATGGAAAGACGAGATTGCGCGGGAGGATTAGATGTAAATTGGGTGGATAGATAGTATATGAATGCTCATTTGAGGCTTTGCTGGGCGAAATCCTTGGGCCATTTATTGCTTGTTCTCTCGTTCTTCAACCAATTCAAAAGCCCGGAGTATATTAGGTGCTTGATGGCCAATTGAGGGCAATGGGAATCTGTATCGGCCGCTGGCTGATTGGACAGAAAGCACAACGTCCTCTTTTAACGCCCACTCGAATTGCTGATGCTCCAGTGGCTCGAGTTGAACAGGTATTTGGAAAGTTGGAATCGGTTGCTGTCTTCCTGCTGACGATTTCAAAGCCTCTTGAACCTCGACAACGAACGAGTACTTGGCAATACGGATTTTCCCGTCACTGCGGCGATGATGCTCCCAACAATCCACCGCGACGAGATCAATAATGTGAGACACATGCAATCCACTTTCTTCTAGCGTTTCACGCACAAGGGAATCAAGTAACGTTTTGTCCGTTTCCAGTTCGCATGCGCCTCCGGGACCCTCCCAACAGCCGGGCATTGAGTCTGTCAGTGCGCGCTGGAGAAGAAGGATGCGCGGGGTAGGATCGGCATGAGAGAAAATGTACGCGCCGACACCAAACCCTTCGAATTCAGGTCGGGCGGCCACAAATTCCGTGAGAGGGATGGTAAAGTAATTGAGATGAGGAGCAACGGTATAAGTCATCTTGATTCTTGACTCGAGATATGGATAGGAAATAGAATCTTTCGTTGAGCGGTGTAGATGTTGAGTTTCATCTTCCCCGCTAGGGAGCGCCTGAGGGCTTTGTGTTTTTATGAGGCGCCAATATAATTGAAATATTGTTAGTCCTACGACTCCCTACGAGATTTCGATCTACGAGGTTTGGAAATCCATTTGAGTCATTGTTTTTCATAAAGGCACTCAACATATGCATATAGATATTTTTATATTATATACATTGTAGGCGTGACTCTATTCTGTATTCTGATTCTGATTTTCTTTTCTCGGTAGTCCTGTGGTCTATAATATTGACCATAGAGGTGTCGCAAAAAGGTCGCTGAAGGGGAGGGATTTAATAATACCCAGATGCGCAATATGGCAATATGAACCCAGGATTGAGTAGAGACCCCGACTCATATGTCTTAGTTGAAGACAACGGTCTTGTGGCCGTTCAAGATCACACGGCGCTCTGTTACGTACTTGACTGCAGTGGCGAGTACGTTGCTCTCCACGTTGCTGCCGGCATGGGTCAGCTCCTTGGGGCTCATGCCATGGTTGACTCGAACAACATTCTGTTCGATGATCGGGCCTTCATCCAGGTCACTGGTGACAAAATGGGCAGTGGCACCGATGATCTTCACACCGCGGTCGTAGGCCTGGTGATATGGCTTGGCACCCTTGAAAGAGGGCAGGAAGCTATGGTGGATGTTGATAATGCGACCGGACATGGCGGTACACAGGGTTGGAGACAACACCTGCATATACCGAGCTAGCACAATCAAATCAACATTGTGTTGGCTCACCAATTCCAAAATCTGGGCCTCCTGCTGCGCCTTAGTATCCGCGGTGACGGGGAGGTGGTGGAATGGGATATTATAGGTAGCTGCGAGGGTAGCGAAGTCGGGGTGGTTGGAAACGATTAAAGGCACCTCAATGCTCAGCTGACCGGTGGATTGGCGGAATAGCAGGTCGTTGAGACAGTGGCCAATCTTGGAGACCATGATCAGCACGCGGGGCTTTTTCACAGTGGGATTGATCTCGAAGTCGAGGGAGAACGACTGGGCAGTGGGCTCGAACGCAGTGCGCAATTTCTCGAGTTCAAGGGTTTCATCTGCTCCACTTGCAATCGCAAATTGTGTCCGCATAAAGAAGCGTTCAGAGGCAGGATCACCGAATTGCGACGAATCGATAATGTTGAGGTTGTTCTCCACGAGGAATGCAGTGACCGCGTGGACAATACCAGGGCGGTCAGGGCCAGAAAGGGTCAAAATGAAGCTAGGAGCCATGATAAATGAGAGAGCGGTGTTGAATCCGCTGGTATTCCTTCAAATGGCTAAGATGATGAAGAGGAATAGCTCTGATTTCTTTCTTTTTTTCTTTTGTGAATCCCACTTGCCGGTTTCGGCGATGACTCATCTGCCGGCATTGCCCGCCTGGTCCACGGGTCGATCAGCTTGATCGGCCTTGCCTTATCGTCCTTATTCTCTTGTCAAGTCTTTTGGATCTTCATCAATTTGATCCCTTCATATCCTCTTCTTGATCTATATAGATCATTGAGACTTGGAATCAAACAATTTTCATAAAATTATCGCCTCACTAGTCACATGTTCCTCTTGAATCGGTGAATTCCATCTTTTTAGCCACGTTTTCCCTAGCGCCCTGAAGGCACTCGGCACCTTATGCATTGATCTCACCTACCGGATGTCATGAGATTACAACTGCATTGGTAACAGGTCTGTGCTCGGCATTGGTTCCTTAATCCTCGTGATTAAACTAAATTACCTTCACTACGCAAAGGCGCCCCATTGCACTTCCATGAGCCAATGCGCGCAGCCAGCGCAAATTACCATCCATGGCGTGCCTTGTCCACATCCTGCAGAATCCGGGGAGTGACTACCTTGTCACGGATCCGAGGTATTATTTTCTCATTCAAGTATGCTAAGATGTTTCATTTTATCCCAAGTCGGGCGTCGTAGGCAACATGGCGTTGTCCCTGCCTAATTTGGAGGCTGGCTATTTAGCCGCTAATGGGTTTCAATCCGATTCTAGTTGTATTGCCGAGGCCTAGTTTAGAAATCTGAATGCAATTTTCCACTCACAAAGCGATGGAATGTTCACAGCCATCTCCGTGGCACTAAACCCGAAGGCGCCCCACAAAATGACTTGAACTACTTCTGAAGCCCGTCGCGGGGTCTGGGGAACTCCCTCCGTGTCCCCGGAGTGTTTACTGTACTTCCCCATTGGGAAACATGGCAGTCAATTGTCATACGGTCATACGGACCGTCGCGCCGTGGCATGAAGCTCAATGTGAATCCCCTGATAGCCCTCCCTAGTTCCTATTGGAATATAAAAGGGCCTCTCTATTCATATTAGTTTCGAATTCCTCATCAATTCACTCAACAATTAAGTTCACAATTCGGTGCACATCGACACTGGACATCATGGCCTCCACTCTCTCCTTCAAGATCTACAAAAATGCCCTACTGTTGGCCGCCTTTCTCGGGGCTGCACAGGCACAGCAGGTGGGCACCAACACTGCTGAAGTTCATCCGTCCTTGACTTGGCAAAAGTGCACTGCTGGAGGCAGCTGCACTTCCCAAAGCGGCAAGGTTGTCGTCGACGCTAACTGGCGCTGGGTTCACAAAACTGCCGGCTCCACCAATTGCTATACTGGCAATAAATGGGATACAACTATCTGCCCGGACGATGTTACTTGTGCCACCAACTGCGCTCTAGAAGGTGCCGACTACTCGGGCACTTATGGTGTTACCGCAAGCGGCAGCTCTTTGCGGCTGAACTTTGTCACCCAGGCATATCAGAAGAACATTGGCTCACGTCTCTACCTCATGGCGGATGATAGCAAGTACGAAATGTTCCATCTGCTTAATCAGGAGTTCACCTTTGATGTCGATGTTTCGAACCTTCCCTGTGGCTTGAACGGTGCGCTGTACTTCGTGTCCATGGACGAAGATGGTGGCATGGCACGATATCCTGCCAACAAAGCTGGTGCTAAGTACGGTACCGGTTACTGTGATGCGCAATGTCCGCGAGACCTCAAGTTCATCAACGGCCAGGCCAATGTGGAAGGGTGGGAGCCGTCTTCCAACGATGTCAATGCTGGTACTGGCAATTATGGCTCTTGCTGTGCTGAGATGGATATTTGGGAGGCCAACTCAATCTCCACTGCAGTCACACCCCATCCCTGCGATGACCCGGCTCAGACTAGATGCAGTGGAGATGCCTGTGGTGGCACATACAGCAGTGACCGCTATAGTGGCACTTGTGACCCTGATGGATGTGATTTCAACCCGTATCGCATGGGAAACCAGTCTTTCTATGGCCCGAGCAAGATCGTTGATACCAAATCCCCTTTCACTGTGGTGACTCAGTTTATCACCAATGACGGTACATCCGCCGGCACGCTCTCGGAAATCAAGCGCTTCTATGTTCAAAATGGCAAGGTTATCCCCCAGTCTGTATCTACCATCAGCGCTGTTACTGGCAACTCTATCACCGACTCCTTCTGCTCTGCCCAGAAGACCGCATTCGGGGACACAGACGTTTTCACTCAACATGGAGGCCTGGCGGGCGTAGGGGCTGGTCTTGCGGATGGAATGGTTCTGGTGATGAGTCTCTGGGATGACCACGCGGCCAACATGCTGTGGCTCGATAGCACTTACCCAACCACCGCCTCTTCGACTACTCCTGGTGCTGCTCGTGGTAGCTGCGACATTTCCTCTGGCGAACCTACCGATGTTGAAGCTAACCATGCGAACGCTTACGTTATCTATTCGAACATCAAGGTCGGTCCTCTCGGTTCGACTTTCACCTCGACCGGCCAAGGGTCCGGCACTACCACCACCAAGGCCACAACTACAAGCACCACCACCACCACTTCCACCACAAAGGCAACCACCACTACTACCACGACTGGGTCAAGCACCACCGGCGCTGCTCAATATGCGCAGTGTGGCGGAACTAACTGGACCGGTGCAACCACCTGTGTCAGCCCATACACCTGCCAGAAGCAGAGTGAGTACTACTCGCAGTGCCTGTAGACAATAGGCAACTCGGGAGTTGAGTGATGGAAATTCGAAGAATGGTGAAGAATACGAGACGACTGGATCACTTTGTCAAAATGTCTATTTAGTTTGATCGATTGTTTTTGATATATTTTTGAATTTGAGAGTTTCATTGTATTTTCTTTCAGCTTAAATGCCGTATTTGTTATTTGTTTATCTTATTTCATATAATTCGATCACAATCTAGAAGTTCTTTTAACACGTTCTCTCTTTCTTCCCGTTCATGGCCTCTCTTGGGTATAACCGTGATAACCCCATTCATTGCTTTTCAACGGAGTACGTACTTGTATCCCGATACGCGCTGACGGCTTCAAAATAAATTCCGTCGCAAAGTTGGACGCAAAATTAGACTTGCACTGGGCTTTATTAAAATTAGAGACAATTTATCCGACTCCTTTGAATAACCCCTTGAATAACCGACGCCCGTTGAGAGACCCCCTGTCAGAGTCAGCACTAGAGTCGAACCATTTCAGCCGATAACTCCTGCACGGCATATCCCGCACCCCCAGACCTAGCTGATGCATGTGGCGCTACCTTGTTTAATTTGAAAAAGCCATGCAGAAACCGGAGAATGCTCCGACTAGTCAAGCCACGTTGATTTTACTTTTACGTTGGGCGCTTCCTCCGGTTTCTAGAGGGCATAACGCCAAATGATATACGCTGCCAATTTCATGCAAAAGTCAGTGCACGTCTAGTGATTTCGTGGGGGTCTTGTATTTGTGGGGGCTACAGGCGACTACTATTATTTTCAAGGAAGAAAACAGGTACAACGTCTATATACAAATGTTACGTAGTAGTTAGCAATTAAACAAGCATTCTGATTATGCGAACTCCTCTTAATGATGTTAATGATCTCCTGTTTAGTGTCTGGTAGTATTTGGTCTATTCATGCACAATTCTTACATGCACTGGTACGCAAGTTCCAGTAGAGGCCGGACGAGCGGCCGAGTGGTGTATTTTATTCGTCGGATTGAATCAGAGTCTACCTCCAACCTGGTCAATATTACCCCGGTTCCCTGTTGAACTTCCAAGTCCGTTGAATTTGTCGGACAAATTACCGGAAACGAGCTTGGGCAGTCTGACAAGCGTTGGGCTCTTGACAATAGGTGCTTCCTACCGGTAATCCACTCCCATATTTTCTTTTTTATTCTAGACTAATTGCTATTTCACTCTCCAGGTTTTACAGCGCCTCCAGTGGCGCCCTCCTCCCCACGTAACCTCGTCTCCGAGATTCCAGCCACGAAGGGATTGTGAGGCCGTGCCGAATCTGGACTACTTTTTCTTACATCTTGGCAATTCATTCTTCAAAGCTCATTTTAGCTCGGGTGGCGGTCCGCAAAAAGAAACCGAATCGAGGTGTTGAAGATGATCCCCGCAGACCTATCCGCTAGGCTAAAGTCTTTCCTCGCACGTGAGGACAAAGCCTCGCGGTTTCAGTCCTAGGTAAGGAGCGATTCATGATCAGGGAGTTCGCTCCTTGTCATATTCGTCCATTGTAGCTTGACATAAATCACATTGTGACCCCCGATAGATTTACATTTCGTAGCACCATTCAGAACGTCCAATCACCTGCTCAAAATGCGGTATACCTCTTTGCTTACCATAGCTGGTATCACAGGCTTGGTACTGGCAGCACCAGGCCCATCCCTATCTAAAAGGGCATCTTCCTTTGTTTGTATGAAGTGTAACCACTGTGATGCAACCAGATATCTGACTGAGTCGTCGATAGGGTTCGGCGCAAATGAAGCTGGCGCAGAGTTTGGGAGTGGAAACATTCCAGGAGAATTGGGCACCGATTATATCTGGCCATCGACCTCAACTATTCAAACTCTCCGGAATGCAGGAATGAACATATTCCGCATCCCCTTCGCAATGGAGCGGTTGGTTCCCGGAACTCTGACGTCGAGTGCGGATGCTACCTACCTAGCTTCATTGAAAAGTGTATGTATCTATAAGATGTCACCGTCCATGGGTGAGACGATACTGACACCAATTTTGCAACAGACTGTTAACTATATCACGTCAAACGGTGGATACGCTGTTGTCGATCCTCACAATTTTGGACGATAGTAAGTCCTCAGCTTGCATTTCGCTGTGGGGGGCGTATCTCACCATATGTACGTAGTTATGGCAACATAATCACCTCTACTAGTGACTTCGCAGCCTTTTGGACAACCCTCGCATCGGAATTCGCATCGAATAACAAGGTCATCTTTGACACAAGTGAGATGCCCTATTCCTCAATTTGAGCCGTACACTAACTTTGTAGACAACGAATTCAATTCGGAAGACCAAACCCTGGTGTTGAACTTGAACCAAGCTGCTATCAACGCTATCCGAGCTGCAGGAGCCAGATCGCAGTACATTTTTGTGGAGGGCAACTCGTGGAGTGGTGCATGGACATGGACAACTGTTAATGACAATATGAAAGCCTTGACAGACCCACAAGACTTGATCATCTATGAGATGCACCAGTACCTTGACTCTGACGGTTCCGGGACATCAGAGACCTGTGTTAGCTCAACCATCGGCCAAGAACGAGTTGTGGCTGCCACACAATGGCTCAAAGACAATGGAAAGAAGGCCTTCTTAGGCGAATTTGCCGGGGGTGCCAATTTCGTTTGTCAAAGTGCAGTGACAGGTATGCTTGATTACTTGCAAGCGAATAGCGATGTCTGGCTTGGCGCGTCCTGGTGGTCTGCTGGACCGTGGTGGGGAGACTACATGTACAGCTTCGAGCCTCCTTCTGGCGTAGGTTATACTTACTACATGAGTCTTCTGAAGAAATATTTCCCCGGCTCGAGTGGCTCAGGTGGGACAACCGCCGCAGTCACCACCACCATCTCCGCCACCACTTCCACAACAACTACTGCTACTACTACCACCACCACCACAACTGGATCAAGTACCACAGGCGCAGCTCATTATGCACAATGTGGTGGGAAGAACTGGACTGGGGCAACCATCTGTGCTAGCCCGTACACCTGCCAGAAGCAGAGTGACTACTACTCACAGTGCCTGTAGGCGAAGCAGTACCGCATGAGAATATCTAGGTGTCAGCGGTAGCTGAGTGAGGGTGTTACATTGCTCATGAGATCAAATTTTGAGTCAGCATTTATTCATTATTCAAATCTTCTACTATTTACAAACTTGTAGATCTAGATAACTCAAAATTCAAGTTTTATCTCCCGCATAATCTCATTTGCTATTGAAGAGTAGCGACCAACTCATCCACGCTCTTCATCTCGCGAGCATTATTCTCGCCAACGTCCAACGCAACCAAGAACCGACTCACGCAGTTATAACCGGCGATGCCGGTGGTGAGCTCCACGATTTCGCGGTCACCATACCCGACACTTTTTAATTCAGCAAAAACAGCATCTTGAACTCTAATGGTGCGAGTCATCTGGTCGGTATAGCGTAGAACAGCGCGCTGTTGTGGGGTGAGTGCGCTATTCTCAAGCTCGGCAATATCTCCCTCAGCGGTGCAAGGCAGTGTAAGAGCAGCCTGCAATTGATCGGGCTTAATGCCACCTTTCAGAGCCAGTGGAGCGTGAGCATTCCATTCGTAAACAGCGTTATTGAGTACGGCGACACGACAGACTGCCAATTCCATGATACCAGAGTCGACTAAGGTGCGCGACCGAATAGCTCCGATGAAGCTGTTCCAACCATCGGCGACAGGTGGGCTATGAAGGAGGGATAGGTCAAGAGGAATCAAAGGACGGGGATTTCTGCGCTCGGCGATACGGGCATAGATAGCAGCGGTGTCCGGGGCTGCATCGACAGGCGGGGTGGAAGGGGCGTAGGGTAAACGCATGGTGCGTGTATGATTGATTCCGATTGATTTGAGGGTATATCTGAGGATGGTGAGTCTATGTTGAAACACGTACATCAAATTCCGGGTTCGAAGTGTTATGGTTTATTCAACGGCACCTTAACAGTCGCAACGCCGTGGGGGGAATATCCTTGATGCCGAGGGGCGGTGGGAAATTTCTTACCCGTCAATGTGGGGGAGCGTTTCTCCGGCATCTTCCTCGGGGATATCTCTCCGAACTTGTAGAGAACAGGTAAGCTAAATGACGGATAGATGATAAACATTCAGATAGGCTATGTGCAATATCTACTAGAAGTCGGGTTTACCCCGTGGTACATATATATAGTTTTACATAAATATATATAACTATCTAGAACTCCACAAGGTTGGAACATACTGGGTCTGTTGCTTAGCAATAGTAATAGGTCAGGCCAAGTTCATATTCTCGATGCGAGGGAGCCTCAACCCACTATAAATTCAAACTCAAGAGTAATTTGTGAAGTTAATATATACATGGATGCTAGATGCTACCCCGGATTACAGTAGGAAGCATTTGGAGCTTTAGACGTGTAGTAGGTTATCTAAAATCACGTTCATATCCATCTGAGATCAAATTAGAATACAAATCAACAAACTCGATTCTACTCAATGGGAGAATGATCCCAACACCGGCATTGGAGTAAAACACACTCCCGCGTGGTGCCGCCCCTGGATGCCGATATCCTCCCCCGCATGCGGATCACATTGAAATTTCTTTGTATTCAAGCTTCGACTATACATGAACCGTCCTGTTTTCTCACGGGCATCGGCCTCAATATCTCGGTCATTTTCTCACTCCTCAATTGCCAATATGAAACATCATTTGATGGTCGGTACCTGGACCGCCCCCGGGCGCATCTATACCGTGCAATTTGATGATGATGCCCTCACGCTAGAGCTAGTGAAAAAGACCGAAATCCCAGAAGCGGAGCCCATCTCGTGGATGACCTTCTCTCACGATAAGAAGGCGATATATGGCGCAGCCATGAAGAAGTGGAACAGTTTTGCTGTCAATAGCCCGACAGATATCGTTCACCAAGTGTCGCACCCCGTTGCTGGTCACCGTATGTCCAAGAAGTCAAAGAAATGCACAACCAATTCCCCTCGCTGACCCTCTCTTTTGTTTTGCGCTAGCTCTAGCTCCCAGTACTGAGACCAACACTCGTGCTATCTTCGTGCTTGCCGCCCACAAGCCTCCCTACAATGTTTACGGCAACCCTTTTTACAACCATGCCGGTTACGGGAATGTGTTTTCTGTGAAGCCGGACGGAGGTCTGGATAGAAATATCCAGAACTATGAATATGTCCCCAACACTGGTATCCACGGCATGGTGTTCGATCCCACGGAGACCTACTTGTACTCCGCCGATCTCACAGCCAACAAGATCTGGACGCACATCAAGGATCCCAAGACGGGCGAATTGGCACTGGTGGATTGCCTCGAGGCTCCTGATGCTGGCGACCACCCCCGCTGGGTCGAGATGCACCCGAGCGGGAAGTACCTGTACGCGCTGATGGAGGCGGGCAATCGACTAGCAGTCTACGTGATCGATGAGCGCACCCACAAGCCGGTATTCACTCACATCACGTACCCATTACTGCCTTCTGGTACGTTTCACGACTCATGGACATATGCGACCGATGTCACTGGCAACTAACAAGCAATCTCCTCGCTAGGTCTTCCCCCACGCAACAAGTATCGTGGAGATGTCACTTTTTGCACCAAGGGTGGGGAATACCTTTTTGCCACTACTCGGTCTAACCATTTTGACGTGACCGGCTACATCACCGCGTTCAAGCTCGGCTCGCATGGCGAGATCGAGCGCCAGCTCTTCATCAACCCCACCTCAACCAGTGGTGGTCATTCGAACGCCGTCAGCCCCTGTGACTTCAGTGATGAGTGGCTCGCACTGTGCGATGATCAACTCGGATTTGTTGAGATGTACCGCTGGCGTGATGAGAAGCTGGCACGCGTTGCGCGTGTAGATATCCCGGAGCAAGGATTTGGAATGAATGCCATCTGGTATGATTGAACGAATAAATTAAAATAAATGATGATCGAGATATATACCAAATCCGAGATTGTATATATCCAGTATAAATTATGTCAGAATGTAGTTGTACAAGAAAAATAACAAGGAACGGAAACGAAATATCATCGGCAGTCAAGTTCGGGTTCTGCTTTCACCCGGATGAGGGGCAATTCTTAAGAGCCGATACATTCTTATGTCTTTCTTTGGGACCTTTTTCTTTTGAATGCTTTGAATGTTTTGCATCTTTCGAGTCCTCTGAGTTATTCTATTGAGTTTGGAAATTCTCTCCCTTGCAAGATATTCATGATGGCTACCCCCGGTCTTCTCTACGTGACAATGCAGCCCAAGGGCTCGCTGCCGGACACCCAGTTTCACGACTGGTATAATACTGAACATGGACCTCTGCGTCTGCGATTGCCCTTTGTCACTAATGGCTTTCGCTTCCGTGCTACTGATGGAGAGCAACCTGAATATGTGGCTTTGTACGATATTACCGATATGGACGAGTTGACCCGCGAAACCTACTTGGATCTGAGAACCGACCTGATCAAGACCGAACGGGAGAAGAAGACTATGGCTCAAATCGATGTTGGTCGGTTCCTGTACGATTTAGTGGATGAGCGTAGCAACCCCAACTTCCGCCCGCTAGAAGATCAAGCCGATACAGATGCCGAGACTCAGGGTAGCGTCCTCATCGCCGTCCGGGTTACCACTCACCCCGATCCAGCCAAACAAGTTGACCTGGAAAAATGGTATCGCGAGGAACATTTTGAAATGCTCTCCCGTGTGCCTGGATGGCGCCGGAGTCGCCGTTTCGTGACTGCGGCGATCGATTCCGCCGCCCCGCGCGAATCGCTGACTCTCCACGAGTATGCTCCCGTCAATGGTCTTGGAGGCGAGGCCCACAAAGCCGCCATGAATACCCCATGGGGAGCGCGTCTCATGAGCGAGGTGGTCACCTCCAAGAAGCGTCGCGTATATGAGTGGTACTACACCTTTGGCCCTGCTCCCCGTGAGCTCACTTCGCTGGCTGCCCCGGATGTTGTGGGACCTTGGAACTCTAATGATGGCCGTACTCGCACATTTCCCTCAGCCGCCCGCCCAGCTGTCGAGTCGTTCGTTACTACTTCTGACGGTGTTGAAATCCCCTACCGTCTGGAGGGTAGCACCGACCCCTACGCGCCTGTCGTCGTTCTGAGCAACTCAATCCTGGTCAACTGGAACATCTGGGATGGTTTTGTTAACGCCTTCTTTGCTCATCAACAGAACCAGCGCTACCGTGTCGTGCGGTATTTGACTAGAGGGCGACACTCGCAGAGTGGTGAGCAGCCTGTCAACATCGACTTGCTGGCCTCCGATCTAGCTACATTGCTAGAGGCTTTGCGTGTGCCCCCCAAGGCCGCTCGCTTGATCGGTGTCAGCCTTGGTGGTGTGACCGTTTTGAACACTGCTCTCCTTCACCCAGAGCGCGTTGGAGCTTTCATCGCATGTGACACCAACTCTTCCGCCCCCGAATCCAACCGCAAGGCGTGGGGTGACCGTGTCGCCATCTGTGAGAAGGAAGGCTCTACCGATCCAGACACCAATGAGCCCATTGTCGGCGAAGAGTTGGCCGAGGTAACCACCCGTCGCTGGTTTGTACCGGAATCATACCAGACCCAGCCTGAGGTCCTTGCACCCGTCAAGGATGCTGTGCGAACCAACAGTTTAAAGGGATTTGCCCATAGCGTGCAGGCCCTTTGTGCCTACGATATCCGTGAGCGCATGGCTACTGCCACTGTGCCGGGTCTCTTCGTCGCCGGAGCCAATGACGGTGTCCTGCCCCAGACAATGCAGAAGATGGCCGCAGATCTACATGGTGGCGCTGATCTTAAGATAATCGACCGTGCTGGCCATCTGCCCATGGTAGAGCAGCCTGTGGCATTCGCAGAAGTTGTGACTGAGTTCCTTAGCAAAATTGATGGTTGATTGCATTTCTATGGGTCATGTAGATAGATTTTGTTCCCTAGCGTATGCAGGGAAATGACTGATGAATATTTTCACTGAACATTCACTCCAGTGAGAGATCATCGTGTATCTTCCCTTCAAGTGTATCAAATAGAAGTAGTATTCCACGCATCAAATCGTGAGTTTGGATCCAGAAAGGTGCATATACGGGCATAAACGTCAGATGATCCCCTTCCATTGTATGTTAAATCGGGTTAACAAGACCGAATATCGGACGAGGGGGCGTATGCGGGATAGAAAGTTGACCGGAGGCTGATCGGGTGTTGTTTCGAAATAGAAGTACTAGAACAACTGGATGTTTAATAGTCAAACTGAGGTCCAAATATTAATAACAAGAGGTCCTTTATTTTTGTTCTTTCAAAAACAACCATGGACAGCATCAATAACATCGTTGAGTACAATCATCAAGAAGAGAATGACGAAAAGAAAAAAAAAGAAGTTGCAGAGCTGAACAATTCGGCAGACGAAGGCGGCCAAGGGTGAAATTCAACTTGCGGGGGAAACGTCAACTGCACTTCTCCTTGACATGTATTTTTCTACAAGTTCTTGTTCTTAACTCTCTTTCGCTACTTATCTTCCTTAATTGTTCCTTTCTTTTTTATCATGCCTGAGAGCAAGATTCCTCAACCGGGTCCTGCCAAACTCAAGCGCAATGCGGGCCCTGACGAGTGGCTGGAGGCAGCAAAGGATTGCAAGTATCTATCGGAGCCACACATGAAGCAGCTGTGTGAGATCGTCAAGGAATACATGATGGAGGGCAAGTTTTGCCTAACCTGAATTTGGCTTAACTATTCTGACTTTGTTCGCAGAATCAAATATCCAACCGGTATCGACACCTGTCACAGTCTGTGGTGACATTCACGGCCAATTCTACGATCTCTTGGAACTCTTTCGAGTTTCTGGAGGCATGCCTGATGGTACAGAACTGGACCCCCCGAAAACATCCCCCTCTGTGATTACCTCCGCCGATATCGAACCCCCCTCAAGCATCTCAGACCCTAAAATTCGCAAGAAGCTTCGTGGCCCCAACGTGAACTCCAATGACGAGGAGGGAGATTCGACTTCGCGAAGCCGATCGGCTAGCGACACATCTGCAGACCTCCAGCTTAACCGCAACTTTGTGTTCCTTGGTGACTACGTGGACCGTGGATACTTCAGTCTGGAGACGTTAACGCTTTTACTCTGTCTCAAAGCAAAGTGAGTGACACAAGACACCTCCTGGTGGAATTGATGGCAAGTATTCACTGCTGACTCCAATATCCTAGATACCCCGATCGAGTCACATTGGTTCGTGGTAATCACGAGTCGCGCCAAATAACTCAGGTATACGGTTTCTATGAAGAATGCTTCCAAAAATACGGCAGTGCTTCAGTATGGAAAGCATGCTGTCAAGTTTTCGATTTCATGACATTGGGTGCCATCATTGACGGCAAGGTGCTGTGTGTTCATGGCGGTCTGAGCCCTGAGATTCGCACATTGGACCAAGTCCGTGTGGTAGCCCGCGCACAGGAGATTCCCCACGAGGGTGCTTTCTGTGATCTCGTGTGGTCTGACCCCGATGATGTGGAGACGTGGGCTGTCAGTCCCCGAGGAGCAGGTGAGAATCATTCAGGTCTCTCTTTTTTTGAACAAATATAGCTGACAATCTTTTTTTTCTAGGATGGTTATTCGGAGATAGAGTGGCCGATGAGTTCTGCCATGTCAATGATCTCTCGTTGATCGCACGGGCTCATCAGCTGGTCAACGAGGGCTACAAATACCACTTTAATAATCAAAATGTCGTCACCGTGTGGAGTGCGCCAAATTACTGCTACCGATGCGGAAACCTGGCCTCAGTCTGTGAAATCGGAGAGGATCTCAAACCCACCTTCAAGTTGTTTAGTGCAGTCAGCGATGACCAGCGGCATGTTCCAACTTCACGGCCAGGGCGCAGCGAGTACTTTTTGTAAGATGTGATACGAGTTCTGCACCGGCGCTGGCGTTCGGTTTGGTATTTGGGCGGAAGGATGAGCATTATATAATGATTTAGACCAGACTTAATGATGCATACGCCTTGTGTTTGGATATGAGAAACCAAAAAGGGATCATTGAAATCAAATAATCCATGGATGAATGAGATTTGTATAAAGACAACCGGCATTCTGAAGACCTAATATCTCCCGAAGAGCTACCCCCGATCAATCCCCCCGCGCGCTCTAGACTATCGGAAGCAACAACACGGGGTAGATTAAAACGAGGCCAGAATATCAAACCAGCAGTGACATGAGAATAAACCAATCTAACAGAATATTGACTACCGAGGCTTTCTAGAGTATTGTCCCGCAATCGCCTTCCGGAACGAATCCCGAGGTGCCCCGGATCTCACCCCGGATCGCATCCCGGATTCACCATAAAAGGTCCCAGATATATACATGCACTAACTACACATCATCTCAGTCTGAACACATCGTACACACATTTGAACAATGGAGAAAGTCGATGTTCTCATCTGCGGCAGCGGGTCTGCCGGTCTTTGCGCTGCCACCTGGCTCGCCAAGTATGGGGTAAGATGCAAGGTACTAGAACGACGGAGTGGTCCCATGAAGATGGGTCAAGCCGACGGTGTGCAATGTCGCACGGTGGAGATCTTCGAAAGTTTTGGAATTGGGGAAGAGCTTCTTCGTGAGGCCTACCACGTTCTAGAAGTCAATTTCTGGGCCGACAATGGCACAGGCACCATCAAGCGGACAGGGCGAACGGCGGATACTCAGCCAGGTCTATCACACCAACCTCATGTTATTCTGAACCAGGCACGTATCAATGGACTCCTCATCGAGCTGATGCAGAAATATAATGACCAACAAATCGACTATGGCTACAATGTGACCGATGTCAAAGTTAATAGCAACTCTGCCGAGGATCACGATGCCTATCCGGTCAAAGTCACAGCGGAAAAGGACGGAGAAATACAAGTTTTTGCAGCTAAATATGCGCTAGTAGGTGTTCATTATCTTCTAGATTTTGATGACTTCTGACCCGACCATCAGGCTTGTGATGGGGCACACAGCATTGTCCGCAAAGCCCTCGGGTACAAAATGATTGGCGACAGCAGCGATGCCGTCTGGGGTGTGATGGACATGGTGCCCAGAACAAATTTCCCGGACATTCGCAAGAAGTCTACCATTCGCTCAAAATCAGGAAATGTGTTGATTATTCCCCGCGAAGGAGATAGCGACAATCTGACAAGGTTCTATATTGAACTAGCCCCAGGAACCAACCCGAAAGAGGTGACTCTGGAAAATTTGCAGGCTCAAGCACAGAGCATCTTCTACCCTTACAAGGTAGACTTTGTGGAAACAGTCTGGTGGTCGGCGTATGCGATTGGCCAGCGTCATGCCGACTTCTTCCATAAGGATAACCGGGTCTTCCTCGCTGGTGACGCTTGTCATACCCACTCCCCAAAAGCCGGCCAGGGTATGAACGTCAGTTTACAAGATGGCTATAACATTGGCTGGAAGCTTGGGGAGGTTTTGAGCGGTCTGGCGAGCCCGTCGCTTCTGGAGACCTACGTCCTAGAACGTCAAAAGGTGGCCATTGATCTGATTGAATTTGACCGTTATTTCTCTAAGTTGTTTTCTTCCGGCGCCTCAACCTCTCCTGCTGAGTTTCAAGAAGGCTTCATCAAGTCTGGAAAATACACCGCAGGCTTAACGGCCAAGTATGAGGTCTCGCCCATTACCTCTGCATTGGAATCGGCCGAGCTCGCCTCTAACGTGACCGTTGGGATGCGACTACCCAGCGCGCAGGTTGTGAGATTCTGTGACTCTAAACCTCTACATCTTATGAAGTCTCTCAAATCCGATGGCCGGTGGCGTATCATGGTCTTCATGGGTGACCTGACTGTACCAGAAAGCCACTCAAAGCTTAACAAGGTCTGCTTGCCACTATTGAAATGTGCTTGGGCCTAATCTAATGAACTATATAGCTGGGAGAATACTTGAGCGCGGCCGACGGGCCCACCCACACATTCACCCCCAAAAACCAAGATATTGACAGCCTTATAGAAGCCATCTTGATCGGGCATGGAAAGCGTCATGCCGTTGAGTTGGAGCAGATCCCCGAGTGCTTCTATCCAGTCTCTGGAAAAACCCAAACAAGAGGTGCAGTTGCTTTAATATTCAATTGCTCCACTATTTCTAACCTGGAGTATTTAGATCTACACAAAATATATTACGATGATGAGAGTTACAATGACGGGCATGGCCGTGCATACGAATATCTCGGCATTGACCCAGCGCAAGGTGCTCTCATCATTGTTCGGCCAGATCAATGTAAGCAAATACATGGTCGTGAGATACATACATATAATTGACGCTTTCGGACCGCTAGATGTGTCTGCCATTATAGGTCTAAGCGATTATCCTGAAATCGGCAAGTTCTTTGCTGGGTTCCTTAAAAATCAAACGTGAGTTGGTCACTATATATGAAGGTCAGGACACAGCAGCTAAATGACATGTACATCAGGGGCACGGATTCCGGTTGTCAGCCATCCGGGCCAGTTGGCAGCAGATTATAATGGAATAGGAATCGGTTAGCGCAAAATAAATCGGAAATTGCATAGAGCTTGAATGATGTTATTGTTTTATTCTTCTGGACAGCTTCTAAACTAAGCGCAAGGCTGAGACATCCCTTCCCAGCATATAATTTCGGTTTGAATATAAATGCATGACCCTAGATGAATAAATTCATGGATCCCGTGCTAACTTGTAGGTGGATGCTGTTCATGTCCCTATGGACAATGGCGCTGCATTTTCCTCAAATCCAAATCAGCACTAATCATATAATTATGAAGATAGTTTTAGGGGGTATGAATCGGATTTCATGTAGGAAGTTGACCACAACATTGAGGTTGATATTGGTTGGGCAGGGGTTAAAACGCCCACGAAGATCTCATTGAAACTCACAAGGACGCTTTTCATTCTGTTAACTCCTTGCTGTAACAATTTACTAAAGCAAAGCATCTTAATAGCACTCACGAACTTGGGCGGATCCCCCGGGTATGCTTCAGACGTTGATTGAAGGTACCACAATCTATTCTAACCGGTATTAGTTACATCTCAATGTCAAGATCGAGACAGAAAGCCGAGAAACACAGTGAATGAACAGATGCGGCCTTGTCAAGCCGACATCGAAGGAGGAGGGGGAGAAGGCCTATCATGAAGAGAAACAAGCAAAACAGGCAACTGGATATGAATCGGTAACAGCCATACAACGGGTTGTAAGATATAAGATATTAGTGTTAGTTAGTCTATAAAGATGTAAGTGGATGTACAAGAGCCGACAGGTTTCACTGCGCATGAAAACGCTTTAGTAAAAATTCAGCTAGATTGACAAATCGTCCCTCGCTCACGTCTTGCTGGGCCAGGATCTGCTCGGCCACATCGTGCGCCCAAACAAACTCGGAATGAAAGCCACGCAGTTCCCATAAACGCTGACGGAGCCACCTTTGATGTGATATATCATTGGTTTCAATTACTGCCATCAACAGCGGCCAGTGTAAACGCCTAAGGAGCCTCGGATCAGACCGAAATTGCTTTTGACAAATGTCAATGATTCCTGCTGTGGCTTGTTGGTGGATGGCTAGGGGTAAAGCATCGACGCAGAGGAGTCGACGGTGAAGGAGGACCTGGCCATAGAAGGTAGAAACGGCCATATATATGGTATTGAGCGTACGTCGAGCGGAAATACTACCGGCAAGTTTTGCGGTGATAAAAAGGTCAGAGAATTTCTAACCATAATCAGTAACTCTCCCAACCTGGGGTTGTATCTATACTGACGTCTCTGGTAACAAGTATGTCACGAAAAAGGGGCTCTGCGGAGTCGGTGGTACGAGCTGCTGATTCAACAAGGACCTTCCAAGTTCGATGGCGTAGGCAAAACCCCGCATGCAATAGCTCTAGAGCTCTATAGTTTTCAATGTCGTCCAGAAGCTCCTCGTCGGGATACTGCTCGCCCCAAAAGCATCGCCCCCAGAGACGAGCACAGCGATGAAGATGGTCCGGCTGTAAAGCGGGATTCCCAGACTGGGCCACATAATCGTTGAGCGACTCAGTAAGACCAATGGGACGACAGCTAGCATCGATATATCTGTTTGTTTGTGAGTGGCGGACATTTGTACAGCGGTTGGAAAAAAAGCTCACAGAATCCACAACAAAAATTGCTCAGGAATGAAGGAAACTTTAGCCATGGTCATGGTGTCACTGGCCAATGCACTTGGTCCGGGAGAGAAGAACATATCATTGGCGTCTTTGATGCGGAATAGCTGCGGATGTGTCTCCAGAAGCGAGCGCACGCCTTGGAGGTGGAGTTGAAGCTGGTAACCCGTTAACGAATTGACAATCCGTGTGAACAAATCAGTACATGAGAGCATACTTACATGGCGAACTGAGTGTCCAAACTGCCACTCCCAAGCTATCATTAAAAAAACAGTGGCAAAAACAGTCTCAACGTCATTCAATGAAACCTGGCGCGGCGTCTCGAGCAATTGCCTGAATTCTTTGACCGCTTGGCTGTAATGGTACCGACCATAGTCCTGGGAGCGCGCAATCAGGCCATTGCGATGCATATCACATGCACTTAGCGCTAGTATCATCCGCATTATGACTCTATTGGATGCAGCTGGGCCTTCGTAAAGATGACTAATTTTGTTCCGGGAGTCTAATTAGTCAAGTGAACTCTTCAAGTCTTAAGGGGAAACGGAAAACTCATTTCCCACACGCATGCAAGTCTCACCATAAGCTGCTCCATTTCCATCCCTTCATATAGTAAAACACGAGCGAGGAAGAAGGGAAATATTGGAAGTATTGTCGATCAAGAGAGGTGAGTGTCAACGAATTGGCGCACGCGATGTTGACGTCCAAGGAAGGGTATATAGGGGTCAGAATTGGCGCCGGGTGGGATGTGTCAAATAAAAGACCATCAGATACCCAAGAAGCCGGCGAAAGACTTGTAAAAAGGGCATTTTGTTCAAAGCCGACAATGTCTTCGGCTTTGGGTTGTTCGGAGGTTCCCGGTGCAGGTTCGAGGTGCCGAATTTGCGTGCTTCGCCCACGCTTCACTGGGAGACCCCATTCGCAATTGAGGCGGAGGGATGAGCATCTTGCACAAACTGGTTTCTCTTCACCGCACTTGACCTTGCGACGGCGGCAGGTACTACAACCTAGCAAGCAGTGGGTTAGTCGGCCATGTGGGAAAATAAAAGAAATATCCTACCACTCTTGGAACGTGGTCCATTACGTCCAAAACCCTGCATGGACATGAACCAGCGGGGATCAACCTGTAGGCATGAGCGAAAAGATCGAAGAGAGCGAGTTGAAAGAATTAATAATGAATTGTGTCGGGACAATGGACGATCTCAGTGCCGAAGCAGATAAGATAACGCGGGGAAAGCTGAGTCATCATGACGTGACGTCTTTTCGGATGCGCTGCCGCATTAGGAAGTGACGCTGCATTTTCGGCATGTCGACTCTTTCATTTCAACTTGGGTGGAAATGGACAAGTTTGGAGAATTAGAAATTTTGTTTAATAATGAAAGGAATGGATAAGTGACACGGTATGGACCACCTTGAGAAAGACTTCATGTTGTAGTTGGGGGGAGCGACTAGGTCCTCACTACATATTAGCCTTGCCTGTCCTCTCTTTAATATGTTGTATGTATATTAGCATTGGCGCATTTAGAAAACTTAACACATGGCTCTGTTTTTATCTCGGTGTTGTAGAGATATTTTATCATGCAACTGTACTTTTACATGTGTTGGTTGTTTTGATTCCGTGTCTTATTTCTTACTGGACACGACCATATAAACCACGTGCCCAACCACCAATTATTTAAGTGATCGATAGTGTGCGGCAAATTCGGGCAGGGGGTGAACGGTGAGTATTATTACTAAAGGAAAATAGCTCAATCGTGACGGACATGATCTATACATAAACGAAGAAACAAACCGATCCTCGAGAGGACTAGAGAAGAACGAGGATGCTTGAGTCACTCACTCCCAGGAAATACAATAACAAGTGAACTTTCGGCTGGGCTTATGGTTTCTAACTAGCAGACCCAGAGCTGGATTTGGATGACCTTGGTGGGACTTCACCAGGCATCGGCTTACGAGCCCACACTCTTCTCCTGTACTGGTGGTCAGTCTGGCTGGCAAGGAACTTGAGCGATGATAGATCAGAACTTACGCTTTATGATACGCATGATAGTATGGGTTCTTGAGTTCACTGCGTAGTTTGGCACAGTATACATGAACTTGCTCCTTAGTCCACGGCTCGGGATCGCCAAATTTCGTTAGCAGCCACATACACCACCCCTCCATACCAGACATCCAATGTTGGCAATTGACCACACCTGCCTCCTTGAACTTTTGGTCTCTAGCCCATGGCCCAATTGGCCATTTGTAGATTTTTTCGTGCACATCCACAAATCCTGCGTTCTTGATGCTCTCCGACATGGTGAGGACAATATCACAAGAGCGACCCGCGCGGTCACCGCACGTTTGAATAAGCGGGCCCCACGAGGATAAGGCACTATCGGCTGGGAGACTCCCATCGTCACTTGTGATAAAAGGGCCGGCCTCGATCTGCTCGATCCATCCACCAGGGGCCATTTTCCTTTTATACGGTCAGATTCGCACGGACGATTGGCTCCATTGGTAACCTACTCAAAGCAGTGCCGGTAAACAAGGTCCCACTCAGAAGAGTTAAACGATCCGATCATGTTGCGCATATGAATTAGATCAAATTGTTCGCGCCATGTCCACTCTTGCAGCACATCATCAACCTCAATGACGCAATTAGGTGGCATCCAGGTGACCGGAGGTGGGAAAAGATCAACTCCTCGGACGGTAGCATTCGGGAACATATCAGCGACATCGCTAGGAATCATGAGCATGTGGTGTTTCACTGGGGTCGGAACGGTCTACGGACGTACATGGCCCAAGTGCCCTTTCCGGTTCCAATATCGAGAACCTGTAGCGGGCGTTCTTGGTCGGTCCCGATGGGGGACCGAAACAATGGATTGGCTCGATCTGAGTCCATGATGAGATCTACGAGATGTCTGCCGTGATAGTCAGAGGCGTGTTCTAGACTGGGATTGGAATATGTACCCTGCTTCATAGGTCTCGAATTGTTGCTCATCAGATGGAACACTAAAAATAAATGAGTTTATCCTGATTGTGTGACATTTCAACCACGTACCAATATTCTTTGTTCGAAAGGGACTGATATCTATAGGAAGATGAGATTATGTTATGTATCATCAAGCGATCCAATTTGTCAAGCTCTTACCGCCTCCCATTATCCATCAAACCACGATAGATTGACGACCCAATCGAGGTAGTCTCCCTAACGACGCGTCAGGAACATGTGAAGTACATAATACCAATAATCACATGCAAACTCACGACTGCCAGTCATCGGGACTATACGCGCTTTGAGGAGTGTACAAGTCTGGATCCACAGCGATGGCCTCCATACCCATATTGGTTCTATTTCTCTCTCTCTCTCTCTCTTTTTTTTTTATCAAGAAAAAGCCGAAGTCCAGGTAAGAAAAGCAATATATGGGGATCAAATATGGAGAATAAAAAGAGAGAAGAGAATATTAAGGTGCTGGAGAGACCAAGGTTAATATTAATAACCCGTGGACCTTTTTTGACTTTTCTTTCCCACGAAAAGATCGTTGATTGGCTGGGGAAACGGGAACTTACCTCTCGAGGCTTGCCCAACTTCGTCAACCATGGAATTTGAAACCTTGGCGTTACCATTCCCCACACGGAAGAACCATCAGCTTCCCGCTGGATCTGCCATTGGCTGGGTATTGTTCACGTACTTTGGTCTGTACTGGTACTGCGGGTAGTATGTAGACTTATGTACTCCGTATCATTATTGTCAACACAACAGTATAATGTACATAAATATATATAACTAGTTACTTAATACTCATACATATTTGCACCATGGACGAACTTAGAGTCTTGATGATACTTTTCGGCCTCTCTGACTCAAATCTAAATTAAATATCTCACCTTGGAACTTCTACACTATTTAGGAATGTATCGCCGACCACCCATGCACCTGTTGCTGACATATTGCTCATTTTCTTACTTTCTACTGGACAACATACATTGAACTACAGGAACCCTTAAAGTGATAATAGTGTCCACTAGTCCCGATGCTCCCCAGGACTCCAGAGCCGAGATTGGTCAGATCGCAAGAGATGAGCTGTGTTATCCTCCTGCAGCCCAGTGCTAATGGACCCCGCTATGAATGTAGCATTGGAAATTCATGCACGTACTCCGTAGCATCTGCAGGTCAAGTACTTCGGTGTTGCGCTGCCCGTTTTTGAGCGGTATGCAGACCAAGTATCTTCTGCACCACTGCAGTGCACTGTGGAACCTTTGTATAACCTCACTGGGTTATTATTTAAGACCCGTGGGCCCTTTAGACTAGTAAAATTCTTTTTTGGAAAGTATCGACTTGGAACGATGCCCGAAGACAACCCATCAACTTTCGATTAATTGATTCAAATTTTAGAACAGACTCGGGGAATACGTAAAGGCATTCCAAATGGTAAGTATTTTTGAGCCCGTTTGTGCCGCCTGCTCTGAGTGGGATTGGTAATTTTTTCATTTGGGCTTTTAGAAACATCCCATTCTACACAGAATGCCATACAAAACCTAGAGTATATCTCATCAATTCTTCGCATTGATCGTACAAAGCAGCGGGAGGCTGATGTCCTGACCGATGTCATTGGGATATGCTATCAACCAGCCATGCTGGGTGGCATAGGAATATACAACCATGATTCTCTGACAATGCAACAGCAATCGGAAATCTTGTTCCTTGTGGATGTATGGCTGGAATCACTTAATTCAGCCGATCGAGAAAAATTGACACCTTGCGGCCAGAAGGCCGCGGAGGAATGACTATGAGTGAGAAGATATTTGCGGTGCACGATTTAAATCATGAAGGGCTTGTGGCTCCAGGCGATATAATTCGAGTTTCTGCTGATTGGATACTTGCCTCTGAGGTATCTTGGGCAGTAGATTTGCTTTTCGAGGCACCGTGAGCTTCGAGCTGATCGTGGGTCTCAAGGGGATGGAAACGATCTATAATTTGTTTGGAAAGCCTGGAATATTTCGAAACGATCGCTTCTGGCTTTCTGGAGAGCATGTTGTTGATCCCAAGGTTAATGAACTGCCTGAAGTGCAGGCATTGATTGGCGTCAGCGAGAGAGCGAAGAAAACGTTTAAAATGACGGAATACCAGGGGATCAATACCAGTTTTCCTTTCGTCGTGTCTTTTACAATCACTAAATTACACCTATGAAGTACCCCATCCTCCGCACCGAATTCTACCGAGAGCGCGTGCAACCCGGAATGCTGGTTATTGGCTCGGACTCACACACATGTTCGTTAGGAGCAGTAGGCTGTCTCGCAATTGGACTGCGCGCTGAGGATGTCACTTTGCCATTGGTGACTGGGGAAACGTGGTTCAAAGTCCCAGAAGCCATCAATATACGCCTGGTTGGAGCACCGAAGCCTTGGATTGGGGGTAAAGATGTCATTTTGTAAATCTTGCAGGTGCTCAAACGGAATACTATAGCATCCGATAGAATAGTGGAGTTCACAGGCCCAGCACTCAGGCATTTATCCCTTGATACCCGCTTCGCAATTTCAAACATGACCATGAATCTGATGGGCCAAATTTACTAACATGAATGACATGAACTTGGATTTATTTGGAGCTGATGATATAACCCACCATTTTATTAATAGACGAAGGCTTCCTCGTCACAAATGCCACAAGATGGACTTCAAGCCCGATGCCGATGTGGAATATACCGCAGTTCATGAGATCGACCTTGCGAACGTGGGGTCTTTTATCGCACGTTATCCCAAGCCAGATGATGTGGTTCCAGTTACGGAAAGAAGAGGGAATGGAGCCAAATGGATGTTTTATTGGGGCCTGCACTACCACCGAAGAAGATCTGATCCTCGTGCTGTAACCCATAGGCAGAAGCAAACAAAACAGAGGAAGCTATACAAAACTGGAGGAAAAAATACCGCAATTCTTCAACGGAAAGTGCAGAGAATCGGTGATTTCATCGACATGGATGCAGTGCGTGTCTATTTTCTCCTTATGTTCGGCGAAGTGTCAGAGCTAACAGTAGTCTTCCAGCTGGCCACTGCTGAGTTTCTGATTAACATAGGAAACAACCGGAACGCTGGAATATGCTGTCTGGTGCATACGGACCCACAATTCTGCGAACAAGCCAAGCAGGGATTTAATGTTGTTGTCGGGGGCAAGGGCTTTGGTTGCGAATCATCCCGCGAACAAGCAGTAATGGCATTGTTAAGCAAGTCAAATCCAACAACCATTTTATCAATAGGAATCCGAGATTTTTGACAACGGGTCTCTTTTAAGATGCGGTGTTCAATGTGTCATAGCCAAATCGTTTGCGTTCATCTTCCAACACAACATGTCAAGCCTCGGGCCCCTAGACATCCCAATGGAATATGAATCCTTTTTTGAACTTGCGAATGATGGAATGTCAATCTCCATCCATGTAAATTCAAATATCATTGAAGTGGGTGGTAGGACATTCGGATTCAAAGTCAGTCAAATGGAAAGCGAAATCTTCCAATTTGGTGGGATTGCTTCGGCTTTTGGGCTCTTCGGAAACAAGCTGTTGGAAGCAATAACTCCAGCCCAACTTTTCAAGGGCATAAAGCCGAGATAGTGCAACAGTCGGAAAAACGACTCGAATGGTAAATATCGTACTCAATCTCTCTATCTTGGTCTTTCCATTGCATCTCGATCTCTATCTTGGTCTTTCCATTGCATCTCGATGTGAATAGGCTTGAACAGATGGAAACCGGGAGATTCTTGTTGAAAGCTCATGTTTACCCTGGGAGCGAACTTGTGTAGGGTCGAACTTATCAAGAGGCTCTGAAGAGGAAACAGGCTGCTTGGGGCCTCACGCAGTCATGCTGTCAACGCCAATCAAGCAAATATTGAACTTCCTGGTAATTGGCAGAATCTTGACTAAATGGGCGCTTATGTTTATGGGAGAGGAATAGTAATCGGGTATTAGACTGATTTAATTTCTTAAATACTCAAACTCCGCGAGCAGAAATTTGTTTTATCGCATTGGACAAGGTCATCGCCCTGCCTCTTAAGAGGTATGGGGGTCGGTCATCACACTCTTCGATTTATCAACGTGACACAATCTCTGAAGATAGTGACAACGTCCAACATGATCGACAATTTGCACAGCGCAATCCATATTGCTCTTGGAGCTAGAGAACAAGATGATTATATGATGCTAACAGTCAGAATTGAGTTGACCAACTTTGAAATGCAAAAGCAAATAACATCGCTTTGTTATCAGTGATTGACTACTTAAGGTACGCATTGGGAAAAGGGTATATCTCTACGTGAGTCTTTGCGAATTAAATAAATCTGGTAAGTATGTTTCACGATTGTGCTGGATGAACTATGGCCCTTGGATTTGTACTCTATATCTTAAGCTGTAGATTCAACAAAATGCCTGGGAGTGTCACTTGTCCTTTTCATCTACTTGTCATCCCCGCATTATCTCATCCTTCATCTTAAACACCTCAGTTGCGGATGTGATCTCCTCCGTGGCTAGAAGGGCAGCAGAATGGAAGGCTGTGGCACCGGTGATGTGGTGAAGCAAGCCTATGTTTGATGCCCTCACACCACCTCCAACAATGATTTCTGGAACCTTGTTGTTTCGAAGCTTGCTTTCCTCTTCTAGTTGTGTTTTATAACGCACTAGAGCTCGTAGCTTATCAACACACTCCACTGCTTTTGTTCCCGAAGCACCACCATTGGTTAAAATCGATGCAAAGCCACACTCCATAATATCGGCCAATGCGTTCTCCCAGTCGGACTCAGGAATAACATCAAAGGCACGATGGAATGTGCAGGGCCGCCCGTCAGCTAGTTGAACAAGCTGCTTGTTACGGGATACATCAACCCATGACATGTTCCGAGCACAAGTCATTTCTGGGGATCGATTCAAAATCCCGAAGACGAAACCGTCAGCCCCGTAGGATTTCAGAGAATTGAGCGTTCGTTTCATCACCTCGAAGTCATATTCTTCATAACAGAATCCTTCGGAGTGTGGCCGAATCATCGTATAGATCGGTATTTTGAGCAGTGATTTCAATTTTTTGAGAACCTCTGCGTCGGCCGATAGCCCACCCAGATGGTACTGTTTGCATAACCTTGAGCAGATTATATTAGTGATAGAACGGAGGATTGTTTTTGCAAAATAAGAATAAAAAATAAAATAAATAAAAAAGCTGCAACAAGCAAAGGATACATGGGGTGCCGGGAAATGCATGTTGCCACGGGGAGAGTAATACTCACTCGATGCGGTCCGCTCCTGCTCTCGCAGCAACCACGGCCGATTCCTGATTGAAACAGGCTATCTCTAGAATTGGTCCTTGTGTGGTAGCAGCTAAACTCATGATTTATATTGGATTGTCTGTAGTCAACTTGTATGTAATATAGGAACAAGTGAGAAAGAGGGGGCTTTTGTAGGTGCGATTGTCCGCGGGTCACCTGATTTCTGATTTGTGATCTTAGAACCAGACCTAGATACTTACTATTTACGTAGTGGCCAGGTCTTTAGTATTATTGTATTTATCTTAAACGATTGTCTCTTCGACATGTATCATTATTGCACAAGCGAATGCTTTTGGTCTTCCAAGGATTTTACCATAGCCGGAGAACGAGTGGACGCGATTGTGTTGGAACATAAAAGTAAACAAAAACCTGCAGCCGCATTATCTCATCTTTCCACCTTCACCTATCTTGGACCTTTTACAACAATTTAACCATTCTCGAAAATGTCTCGACGACCGGTTATCGCAATCGCAGGACTTGCCTGTGAGACCTCTAGCTTTTCCCCCGCTCGAACACTCGGTGGGGCATTCCACCCGCGCCGTGGCTCGGAAGTGATTGACCAGTACGCCTTTTTACATCATGGCACTCGACTAGCAGATGTCGCAGATTGGAAGGGTGCACTCATAGGTCATGCTCTTCCAGGTGGAGTCGTGGTACGAGCTGATTTTGAACAACTCTCCAGGGAAATCCTTGAGCGGTTGGCTGGAATGGTCGCCTCAAACCCTATTGACGGATTATGGTACGATATCCATGGCGCAATGTGTGTTGAGGGTATGAAAGATGTGGAATCAGAGCTTCTCCGGCGAATTCGAACTGTCATTGGCCCAGATGCTTTGGTCTCGGCATCCATGGATTTGCATGGAAATGTGTCCAGGGAGCTGGCCCACCAGACTGATTTGATCACTTGTTATCGGATGGCACCCCACGAGGATGAACTTGAAACAAAGGAAAGGGCATGTCGCAATCTGGTCAATGTTTTGGTATCGGGAACCGGCACTTGGAGAGGGAATAGACCTCTGAAAGCATGGGTCCCAATTCCCATCTTGCTGCCGGGAGAGCAGACTTCGACTCGCAACGAACCAGCAAAAAGTCTGTATTCGCTCGTTCCCGAAATCGAAGCGATGGATGGTGTCCTCGATGCAGCCATATGGGTTGGCTATGCGTGGGCAGATGAGCCACGAAATCATGCAGTGGTGATGGTCACTGGGTGGAACAAGTCCGCCGTCGTTAGAGGAGCCAAGCGCCTCGCATCTTTGTTCTGGCGTGTCCACAAGGACTTCCATTTCGTTGCTCCGACAGGCTCTTTCTCTGAATGCATTGAAAGCGCACTGGTATCCTCAAATAGGCCCTTTTTCATCTCTGATTCGGGAGATAATCCCACCGCTGGTGGATCGGGCGACGTGACCTTCGGATTAAACAAATTACTAAATCGACCGGAATTTCAGAAAGATACTGGCCCATCTGTGATTTATGCTAGTATTCCGGGACCACAAGCAATTAATGTCATAATCAAGGCTGGTGTCGGCGCTACTGTCACGGTCACCGCTGGGGCACAAGTGGACAATCTACATGCTGGACCCATCACCATGACTGGACGCGTTCATTCCATCAGGTATGGAGATCGAGATGCGGAGGTTGAAGCGGTACTACAGGTTGGAAGTGTGTTTACGATTCTGACCAATTTACGCAAACCATATCACTATGAAAGTGATTTTCTCGGTCTTAGCCTTAGTCCGCGTACAACAGACATTGTCATAGTCAAGATCGGCTATCTTGAGCCAGAGCTGTTTGATATGGCAGCAGACTGGATGCTTGGTTTGACTCCTGGTGGCGTTGACCAGGATCTAAAGCGTCTTGGGCATCATAGTATCCTCCGTCCAATGTGGCCCTTTGACAAAACGTTCAACAGGGCCCCAGATCTCACCCCACAGCTGATTCCATTCTCAAATGAAGAGTTGGAAACGGATCAGCGAATGAAGTTTTGACCGTTGTGATGTCTGGTTCTTCAAGCTTTACCTTGCTGGAGTGTTTAGAGAGTTCTTTCAGTCCAAATCTCTGGTTCCCTCCATATGTTGACCTGAGACACTACCAATCTGCAAAAATAGTGCGCTTAGGCACCGTGCTCTTGTAGCAGTGTCGTTTATTATATAGTATCACCATATTCAACAGCTGTCAGATTCTTCTTTTAGCTTCTGTCATACGGCATTTCTCTAATGACCACCTGACCCATGATCAGCACCTATAAGGCCGCAAATGCGGCCAACTACTTTTATATATAACTATAAGTAAAGCTTTATCTTCCAAGTGAGCCTTTCTGATAAGCAAACAGATCACAATAACTCTTAGAGCAGAAGGCTTTGATATTACTAATAACTAATTAGTTTCTGACCCCTGGCTGGGATACACCTTGGCACAATTGTAACGTGAGAGTGGATCTAAATTCCTGCCGGTGGCATACTTAAGTCGCCCGTACCTAATGTGACTCATTCGGGTATTACTCTGAAAACCACAAACATTTTTTTTAAAAAAAGAAAACATCCTACCCATACCCTAGAAATCCAACCTACACGGTAATGTTACCTGGCTTGTATTTCCTGTCGCTCTTGTTTGCTTTACTGACATGAAATAGTTGGACACGTGTTTCTAGCTTTGCTATGGCTTCTGCGCCAACGAAAACCTGCTTCTCCACATCATCCCCATATGAAGAAAAGATTGGCTACTACCGCGCCATCCGCCATGGCAATCAGATCTTCGTTTCCGGAACTACAGCGGTTGACCCTTGTTCTCCTATCAATGCCCCGCGAATTCTTCACCCGGAAGACGCCAAACAACAGACATGTGTTGCTCTGAAGGAAAGTATTCGAGCCATCCAAGGTCTTGGTGGTAGGGGAGCGGAGGATATAATTCGCGTCAAAATGTTTGTGAGTCGCCACGAGGACTGTGAGGCTGTGGGACTAGGATTTAGTGAGATATTGGGCAAGCATAATCGTGGTGGAGGTGGTATCATAGGAGCTGCCGCAACAATGATTGTGGTTAATGGCGGTTTTATAAATAAGGGGATGCTTGTTGAGGTTGAAGTTGATGCTATTGTGGAGCATAGTTGAGACTCTCTAGAATGCTGTTGTCAAAAGACCTCTAGAGGAAGGCGGAAACAGAATGTTTGTTAATAGATGAGATAGCTGTGAAAGCTAGAAGCTAAACCACCAAATTTCAGGTTTTGGCAGCTAGATATATTGAGGATAAGTCCAAACCTATAAGGCAGAAGTAGAACAAAAGATCTACCCATATAGTCCTCAAACCGTAGTGACTTTGAATGTCACAGGGTGAGTAGTATATCAAAGGAGAAAGATTTTCGGTTGATCATACAATGAAGCAATGAGACTTGTCCTTCACAAACACACTTCCCTGCCAAGTAGGTGCAAAAGTTCCTGAGCTCCTTTCATATGCTAATGGATCTCTTGATCCATTGTCCCTAGAACAAACGATTTTCGCGCCCGCATATCTTTACAAACCTTGACGTTAAATAATTTGATGGTCTGGCGTACTTTAGTTGCGCAGCAAGTGCTGTTGCTAGTCTTCTAGAATCTTGACAAACTTATTGGAATAGTCGCCAGGCGAAGCGAAGAGGATTTGTTGGTCAGCCTGTGTCTACTCGCTATAGTAAAAACCCAAAGAGGACATGCATATATAGTTTCAGCCTTAACTCTGGCCCAAGTCAATACATACTTAGCACCAGAAAACCTTTCCTTCGAGTGACAAGAAAAGCGCAAACGACAATCACCGACCGAAAGACTCGGCTTCCAGCCATAAAACCCCCTTATAATACCTGCTTGAGGACGGACAATTCTCACCAATAACGTCTAACAACATATTAGATTTGGGGTTCGCGACGGGTGAATTATTTAGATATCCAGGAAGTTAACATCCTTTATCTCCGAAGTGTAGAAATATATGTAGGATAGATACTATGTATAATGAGTCCAGTAGTTCGCCATCTTTCCGCAGCGCGAATCTGTTTTAGAAATGGCCCTAAGAATCAATTGCATAAATGATACCGTTGGCTTTATTAGCTTCTGCAAACTAGTTGGGTATGTTTTACGTTTCTATAGTTAACAGCGAGAGCACAGCATAACTTGAAGAGTGTCCCAATTCCTGTATTTTACTACTGCATAGTGAGATGCTGGAGTATCAGAAGTGTGAACAATTACGTATTTGCCCGGATTTCTCAAGACTGCGACATTAGTCAAACCTAAGCCACTACTATCAACAGCCACTACGAATGTTCACTATCTTAAAGTAATTAGAAGGAGCAAATAATAACGAAATTGAGACCTAGATGAGACGGTAATGCAGAGCGTGGAATTTAAAAACCGATACTATCTTTGTAGTACTTGCAGTTTTTGTGCGCAAAAGCCGTTAGTCATCGAGCGCATCATGTATGTTTTGATCATTGGATAAATCGATCGAGATTTATATTCATCTACCTGCACCTATGTAGCTATAAACTTACATGGATAATCTGAGATAGGACTGGAATGCCGGTTGTGATTACTTGTATTGTAACCGGATACCCGGGCCCCGGAAGTCATCGGATGCTTCCATCAGCCGAGCCCGAACCCGTGGACTATTACGTTAGTGTCCGGTCTGGTCCGGAGGCAATTCTAACAACTAGGCTGTTTCCAGAAACATAGTCACCCTCATATTAGACATCTTTTGCTGAATTAAATTAAAATATGATGATTACGAACTGAGTACTCCGTAGTGATGTTGCGTATCTTCTCTGTAAATCTTTTTGCGAATCTGTCTAAAGATTGAGAATCACCGCTTTTCATACCTGTTTTGTTTGCCCTTTAGTGAACGTGGTTACCTGTAGGGCTTTAGACGGTTAATATTCCTAGTGAGCGCTTGTTGTTCTATGAACGGACTGAAATAAAAAGTGAAAAATAACAGCAGAATTGACGATCTACCTTTCGTAGTAGACCGTCCACTTTCGAAAACACAACCCATCAAAAAACGTGACTATGGTGTGTGTTTCTCTATCATTTTAATCGGCGCAATAGCATGCAAGTTGTATCACCATACTATGAACTGTGAGAATTTTTAGTTAAGGGGGTAAATTCATCAAAATATCGTTGCTGTGCCTAGTTCTATGATTCCCGGAAATTAACAAGACCAATAATCGGTGCTTTATTTTCTCAATACTATGGCTACCACTCACGCAAAGGTTGGCAAAAATACGGTCCGGAGTATCCACTCCCAGCTTGACCACAATGCAAGAGTCTATTTCGTTTCCACGGCCCTGGCAGGAGCCAAGTGCTGCAGATGCTCGTACACTCTCTTCGCATTTCCATCAAGGACTTCTTGGGCGTATGACTCAAGGCTGATCCACTTGGCGTCGGGATACAACTCTTTGGTGGTAAGATACCCCAAATATTTGGCGTACTCTGGGGTGTTATCTCCACGAACACAACACGAGTACCAGTATTGATACTGGGCAAGCATAACAAAATCAGGCGAGTCTGCGCTTGGCTGTGTGGCCTCGATCTTGGAAATGCTGGACCTGATAGCCTCCACCGGAACCTGTAGAACAATAAGCTCTCTATATGTTATAATGGGTATTCCAATATCTGAAGATACTTACATATTTGCGTTCCAAGTTCTCGCCGCTGAGACCTTCCAATAAGTCATATAACTGGTTGTGAGTCATGACTTCATTGTAGGCGAAAACCATTCGGTTTAGAGTCCGCGGATCGACGATAACCCGGGCAACATACTTCCCGACATCTCTGACATCTGTCATAGCAAAAGGGACATCTCCTTCGCCAGCTATGCCGTCCATTGTTTCCATGACGGCATAATCGATGCGACCAGAAGGGAGGCGAGGCAAGGTGACCTGATACCACCAACCCACGTCTATGACTGTATACGGAAGATTGAGTTTCTTGGCGTAGTTGAGAATATCCTCTTTCTGCAATACCAGTCAGTAAACCATCAATAGCAGAATTTGTGAGGTAGACTACCATATCTCTCAATCTCAGAGCGCCTTTCGGGGGTGCAACTGTTGCGAAGAAGCAAGGCAAGTATCGTTTGATACCGACAGATTTTGAGGCATCCATGAGGGGAATTTCATCCATAAGGTTACCACCATAGATGGTGGATATCACGATATCTACTCCCGACAGCGCCTCTTCCAAATCCTTTGTCGGTCCATTAAGATCAGCAGTCACAATCCCCACTCCTCTGTTAGCCATCTCAATAACTGCCGGCTTTTGAAGAGAGGAGGGTCTAGTGAGGGCAGTGACCCTCTAGAAGAGTTGATGTCAGCATACTAGCCGAGAAAATCAGCGAGGCATGATTAGGGAAAGGGGTCTCAAACAAATTTTGGCGATTTTGACTCAAGAAGAGCGTTCACAATGACGCCGCCCGTCTGCCCGGTTGCGCCAAGAATCGCCACGTGGACGGTATTTGATGACATGACAAAGGATCTTTAGTCGTTTGTGACTTCTAAAATAGAGTTGTATACCGGAATACGGTGGGTTTTGTACATCTTATAGTAACATCGGGGAATAGGAAAAGCACCTCGCAATCGAATATTGTTCAAGAAGCATTTGAAAGCATTGCAAATTAACTTGGAAAGCATTTAAAAGCATTGCTAATCAACTATTGGTAATCATTGGTCCCTACGTAGGTAGTGAATCATACCGAATAGGGGTTCTTACTATAACTGGAGAAGCTAAGTTGCGCTCAACATCTCTTCTGGTATTAGGAAGGTAAACACTGTTGAGATAGCAATGACTTCTACTTACACAATGCTCCAATCTGGTTACGTAAATTCTCTCTTGGCACACAGTTTTTGATACGAGTCCCATTTAGTAAGGTACGACTATCGTAAGAAGATATATGTTACGAGCAAGTAGTGGGGCGCGTTGCAAAGATTTTTTTCGCTGCGCTATCTGCAAAAAGCCCCAAGTTTCGAACTTCAGAATCATGGCCGAAATATAAGGACCTAGTCCTTCACATTTTATGGTGCTCAGGGGAGCATGAGCCATTCCTATCTGACTTCTTTTATTTTTGACTTTCTTGCTAGAGATGTTCTTACTTTCCTCTTAATCCAGTTGCTTGATTCATTGGAGTTGTTGGATATTTGCACATTTGATAGATGTATTGTATCGCATAACACCAACTCGCTATATATCCGCGCATGATTTCAATTCTACATCAGATAGCTAAGACAATGGATGCAAGAGAAAGTAAAATATCTATAGAGCGAAAATCATGGCCTGCCTACCCCGTAATAACTCTCTACATGGTGGAAAACAACGCGAAAAGCCCAGGTTGTCATTGTTGCTTTCACCTTTTCCCCCAAAGACAAATGCATGCTCGTCTTTACTTTTCCAAGCCTCCTGAACAGCATTCCACAGAGGCTGGATATTACCAATCCGATAGCTCAGCATCCCTTGCCACCACTCCAACCACAACCCCCGATCCCCAGGCTCGGCTTCACAAGAAGCAATAAAGCCAGGCCACAGAATAGGCGCCATAGGTTTCCTAAAAACCCCTGGATTATCTCGCTTGATCATCTCAATCCTCTGCAAACAAGACGCCACACATGATATCTGATGCTGAAGCTTCACCGCAATCTCACTACCATCTAGCTCGCCTAGATCCACTTGCAAAACAAGATGAGTTATATAGAAAACCTGGATAGCGTAAGAAAACGCACGGATGTGAAGCCTGGTTATCCTTTCTGTCAAAGTGCCAGTTTTGCTCTCGTCAAAAAGCACAATCTCTTCGTCCTCGATATTCCAAAGGAGAAGCTTGTTGTTCAGAGCCACACGCGCCCGCTCTAGTCCATCCGGTAAATCAAGACCACGCGATGAATAGTACATGAAATGTTGAGAAAGAGTCTTAATATTATGTATAAATCGCAGGAGTGTGTGTGTCACCCCATACGTATGCTGCAGACAGTGGTTATCAATACTCTCGTGTGCAGCGTCACTTTCGAGGAGATGCGACGGCCAAGGCAGCAGTGGAAGGCAACTGTCTGTTGACCGAGATAGGGTGGATTGGCAATAGAAGACGGTGTTGAGGTAACGTTCTGTTTTGCAGACCCTATGGATTGGGTATTGTAAGCGATAGCTAAGGATTTGGAGGTGTTTAAAGCCTTTTAGATGGACCCAATATTCTGACATGCCGCCTTGCATTATCTGAACCTGATTTAGTCATAGCACTTATTCCGTATTCCGAGGAAACAAAAGGACGGAATGAATTTGGCTTACATCGATGGTTATTAGAGATAGAGTTGCCGACATGACATTTTGTAGCTCTTCGATATTTTTAATTGATCCTGTCATCGCAGTGCGAAGATGTCTGTATGCCATCATGCGACAAAACCTGCCGATATTTTCCATTCGTTGGTATTGTTCATCATTGTCTCCTGATTTACTGCCGCGGAGATGAAATGCCGCTGTTGATATAAGTGAGTAGAATATGGACTTGTTGCTCCATGATGGAAAGCCTTGTGGCTCAGACCCCTGGCTGCTGAAGAGACTTTCTGCGCCGACTATTGCGCGCGGAACATAGATGGTGCCGTAGAAATTCCCAGGGTGGAGGAATGGGCGTAGCAGGTCAGTGACATTTGTGGCGTAGTGGTGGAAAAGCTTTGCTGCTAGTGGGTATCTGTTGTAGATTATCGTGGAAGGAAATATGGGCCTTTCTAAGCTAGGCATCAGTTGATCTTGGTCCGAGTGGCCTGATAGATCTGATATAGATTGAGGATGCTCAGCTGAAAAGAGTGATGACAAATTTGTTTCCGTTTCAACCATAGAGCTGGACGATGTGGTTTCGTATTTTGTGGGTGGGTAGTATCCAGAAACTTGGAATACCGAAAAGGGGCCCTTTTCTATATCAAATTGGCTTCCTTCTACGTCCACTTGAGCTAGAAGTTCATCCACCTGGTGCATGTCAAGCTTCCATGCCAGAAATTCTACAGAAACGTTAGTCGAAATAGCCATAAAATAAATTAAAATAGAAACCATAAGATGAAGTGAAAATGACAGATATTCGACAGGACTGCGGACTTACGTGGAGATAGCATGGCCTTTCGTTTTATAGCGGTAGGCCGGATGGGAAGATCATCGCTTCCATTGGGAATCCAATGAAGGCACAGGCTATAACCCTCACATTTTCGACCTGCTTTCAGGCATCGAAGGCACTCGGGTTTCTGGAGATCGCATTTCACTTTTCTTTCGCGACATGTCCAGCAGCTGGTAGATTATTAGAGTTGGGAAAAGGCTCGGACACCATACTAAGTACTTGCCCACTAAATGTCTTGGTTTTCGCAATTCGTGCTCTTGATTTTCTTGGGATCGGATTTGCCATCACGCTAGCTTAGACTCCTTCCTGAAGCTATTGATCATGGGGAAGTAAAAAGACCCATAGGCGAATAATTTAGCTCCGCAAATGCGCAGTTAGAGAGACATGGAGTCCGCATGGTGCTTTAAACCCGTCCAACTCTGGGATGTTACCGATTTGCACTATTCCTAAATCAGTGGTGGGTTGATAACATCGGATTAGCGTATGTCGGTTACATATGTGTGTTGTATAAATATTAATTTGACTGGAAGATAAGAGCGATACTCGCTGAGAATTCCCTAGATTGTTTAGGTTCTTCCAAGGTTGATATCTCGCGCTAAGCCTATTTCTAGGCGGAGATAAGAAGAGCGGGTCGTGTCAGCGGTTAAATACGTACAGTCAAACCCCGTTAAAATGTACTCCACTTCTTTGTAAACGCCACTTACTCCGTACTTTGAAAAGATTTACACTCCCGGATATTTTTGCCATAGTAAAGAGCGCCAAGGCTTCCTAATTAGGTATAGCGCCCCCTGTTTTACGAACTTTGCTTTACAAAGTTGCTTTTGAGGCCTACCGTCCACGTGTTTCGTTAATTTCATTGGCTAACCTTTTATCCCGCCCTTTTCTGTCGGTTTTAATCATCCCTAAGCCCTTAACGTATTTCACATGCGAGTGGCCCACACAAGCGAGTGGCC